CCCTGGGCCGCTGCAGCCTGCGCACACTAAGCCGCTGCAGCCTGCACTCGGCCAGCCCAGCCTCAGTCCGCTCGCTGGGGCGCTTCTCCTCGGTCTCCAGCCCACAGCCCCGCAGCCGCCACCCGTCCTCCTCCAGTGACACCTGGAGCCACTCTCAATCCTCCGACACCATTGTCTCTGATGGTTCCACCCTCTCCTCTAAGGGTGGCTCTGAGGGCCAGCCGGAGGGCTCTATGGCTAGCAATAGCATGGCACCCCCTCCCCAAGGAGGCAGTGGGAGGGGCTCCCCCAGTGGGGGCAGCACCGCTGAGGCCTCAGACACACTCAGCATTCGGAGCAGTGGGCAGTTGTCTGGCCGGAGTGTGTCCCTACGTAAGCTGAAGCGGCCTCCACCCCCTCCCCGCCGGACCCACTCCCTCCATCAGCGGGGCTTAGCAGTGCCTGATGGGCCCTTAGGGTTGCCCCCTAAGCCTGAGCGTAAGCAGCAGCCCCAGCCGCCTCGGCCACCCACCACTGGTGGCTCAGAAGGGGCGGGGGCAGCACCCTGTCCACCCAACCCAGCAAACAACTGGGTACCTGGCTTGTCTCCGGGTGGCTCCCGGCGCCCCCCACGCTCCCCAGAACGGACGCTTTCACCTTCCAGTGGATACTCGAGCCAAAGTGGTACTCCCACCCTCCCTCCCAAGGTCCTGGCAGGTCCCCCTGCTTCCCCAGGCAAGGCCCAGCCCCCTAAACCAGAGCGTGTCACGTCCCTTCGCTCCCCTGGGGCCTCCGTCTCCTCTTCCCTCACGTCTCTATGTTCCTCCTCCTCTGACCCAGCCCCCTCAGACCGCTCTGGGCCACAGATGTTGACCCCCCTGGGTGACAGGTTTGTCATACCTCCTCACCCCAAGGTGCCTGCCCCCTTCTCTCCACCTCCCTCCAAGCCCAAGAGCCCTAACCCAGCTGCCTCTGCTCCAGCCGCCCCTGCTATGGTTCCTGGGCCTGTTTCTACCACTGATGCCAGTCCCCAGTCCCCTCCCACTTCCCAGACAATCTTGACCCCACTGCAGGAGTCTCCTGTCATCTCCAAAGACCAGTCACCCCCACCATCCCCACCCCCATCTTACCATCCACCCCCACCACCCACTAAGAAGCCAGAGGTGGTTGTGGAGGCACCATCTGCCCCAGAGACTGCTGAGGAGCCCCTCCAAGATCCCAACTGGCCCCCACCCCCACCCCCTGCCCCTGAGGAGCAGGACCTGTCCATGGCTGACTTCCCCCCACCTGAGGAGGCCTTTTTCTCTGTGGCCAGCCCTGAGCCTGCAGGCCTTTCAGGCTCCCCAGAGCTTGTCAGCTCCCCGGCTGCTTCGTCCTCCTCAGCTACTGCTTCGCAGAGTCAGCCCCAGGGTAGCCCAGACCCTCCTCCAGCTCCGCCAGCCCCAGCTCCTGCTAGTTCTGCCCCAGGGCATGTGGCCAGGCTCCCTCAGAAGGAACCGGTGGGCTGCAGCAAGGGCGGTGGGCCTCCCAGGGAGGACGTAGGTGCGCCCCTGGTCACGCCTTCGCTCCTGCAGATGGTGCGGCTGCGCTCTGTGGGTGCTCCAGCAGGGGCTTCCACCCCAGCACTGGGGCCATTGGCCCCCCAGAAACCACTACGAAGGGCCCTGTCAGGGCGGGCCAGCCCAGTGCCTGCCCCCTCCGCAGGGCTCCATGCTGCCGTCCGACTCAAGGCCTGCAGCCTGGCCGCCAACGAAGGCCTCTCAAGTGCCCAGCCCAACGGACCGCCTGAGGCAGAACCACGGCCTCCCCAGTCCCCTGCCTCGACGGCCAGCTTCATCTTCTCCAAGGGCACTAGGAAGCTGCAGCTGGAGCGGCCCATGTCCCCTGAGACGCAGGCTGACCTCCAGCGGAATCTGGTGGCAGAACTCCGGAGCATCTCAGAGCAGCGGCCACCCCAGGCCCCAAAGAAGTCACCTAAGGCTCCCCCGCCTGTGGCCCGCAAGCCATCTGTGGGAGTCCCCCCACCCACCTCCCCCAGTTACCCTCGAGCTGAACCCCTTACTGCTCCTCCCACCAATGGGCTCCCTCACACCCAGGACAGGACTAAGGGGGAGCTGGCGGAGAATGGAGGTGTCGTGCAGCTGGTGGGTCCAGAGGAGAAGATGGGCCTCCCGGGCTCAGGTACAGTGGGCAGTGCTAGGGTGGGGTCCCATTGCTGATGATGGGAAGTGGGAATCTGAAGGCCCGTCATGGGGTATTTGCTCTTGGATCTTTAACTTTTATGGTCTGAGAATGCCTGGGAAGGGCCAGCTATCACCCTTGCTGGGCCCCAGAGGAGGAGAATGGTGTGTGAGTGTCAGGCCTACTGTGTCTGAATTCCAAGGTTCAATAGCCAAATTCCTGGCTAATTTTGTATCTTTCCCTGCCCTTCCTAGCTACATTGTAAAGTGTGGGGCAGTGACACCTACATTATAGTGTCTGAACATTTGTAGGGTGTCCAGCCCAGTGCTGCAGGCATAGTAAAACGGGTAACAAGGTTGGGTGAGGGTATGCCTTGTTGGGCTCTTAGTGCCAGAACTAAGCTAGGAGGCCCCTTGCTAAGTGTCCCTTCTTTTTCTCCCCTAGACTTACAGAAAGAGCTGGCCTGACCACCAGGCACCTCACTGGCACTGCTGACCCATCCCAGAAACACAATCTCAGGGACCTGAGCAGCTCCAAGGACGAGAGGATACAGCAGACACAACCTAATAGAGAGGGCGCCTGCAGCCTTAACCTCCACGGCCTTCGATATTTATGCAAGCCTGGTGTTGCTCCTGTCCTCCGAACCATCCCGCGCTCATGCCTTTTCCCGAATGGGGTCACCTCCGGCAGTTGCCGCTTCAGTCTTGGCCTTAGCCTCATCTTGAAGGAGGTAGCTGGCGGGAGAGGGTGGCTGCGCCCCCTGCTGGCCCTGAGGCCGCAGAGTTGGGAGCAGGACACCTCATCTGAGTTTCATTTTTTTTTCATGTCCAAACCATGCACATACTATAGTCCAGAATCAAAGCACTTTTGAAAAGTGGCTGCATGGCCATCCTCCAGGGCCCAGGAAGTTGCATTCCAAGGGCCTGTTTACATGGCAGCAGAATCCATCCCCAGCAGCCAGCCCATAGCTTGAGACCAGTCTGTGCCCTCCTGCCCAATCCAGTTTACTCCTTCTCTTGCTTGGTTCCTGGAGGTGGCCAAGTCATTTTGTTCCCACAGGCTTCTCTAGGCTGGGGGCAGGGGTGGGGCTGTGGAATTCCAAAGCACAAAAGGTGCAGAGAGGATTAGCCTTCCTGTGCCTCAACTCACCAACCACCCTCCTGCCTTCCAGTTCTGCCAGGTGCTCCATGCTGGGGACAAGTAGGAGACTGCCAGGGCCCAAAGAGATGGGTGAGCAGAAGAGCAGTAGAGTCATCTCGGGGTACTTGGCAGTGTCAAGCACCTGCCCCTTGCCTCCTTGACCACACTGGGGTGGGTGGGCACCCAGCACTTCAGAGGCAGGAGCCTTTGGGCTGAGCAAGCACCGAGGAGGTGGATGGAAGGGAGCATCTGGAGGGGGAGAGCTTCCTTGAGCAGTAGGCCCAGGCCTGGCCCTCCACACTTCATTCTCTGACCTTTCTCTCTCCTCGTGTCGGTGGATGTACTTTCTGCAGCTGCTTTTCAGCACAGGTGGTTCCACTGGGAGGAGCTAATGCCGAGTGACAAGGATGGGAAGCCACAGGTGCATACTCAAGTCTTCCCTAGTCAGTGAGGGACATCCAGTGCTCCTAGGGCAGGCTGGGTCATGGTCCCCTAGGTATCAGCCTTTCTTACTGCACTCTCCTCCAGGAATGTTAACCTATTTTCAGCCTGTGCCATCTGTCTAGGCAAGCTGGCTTCCCCACTGGCCCCTGTGGGTCCACAGCAGCGTGGCTGCCCCCCAGGGCCACCCCCTCCTTCTTGATCCTCTTTCCTCAACAGTGACTTGGGCTTGAGTCTGGCAAGGAACCTTGCTTTTAGCTTCACCACTAAAGAGAGAGGTTGACATGACCTCTCCGCCCCCTCACCAAGGCTGGGAACAGAGGGGATGTGGTGAGAGCCAGGTTCTCCTCTGGCCCTCTCCAGGGTGTTTTCCGCTCGTCACTACCATCTTCTCCTCGTAGCTAATCAATCAATCTTCTTCCCTTGCCTGTGGGCAGTGGAGAGTGCTGCTGGGTGTACGCTGCACCTGCCCACTGAGTTAGTAAAGAGGATAATCGGTGAGCACTGTTCTGCTCAGAGCTCCTGATCTACCCCACCCCCTAGGATCCAGGACTGGGTCAAAGCTGCATGAAACCAGGCCCTGGCAGCAGCAACCTGGGAATGGCTGGAGGTGGGAGGAAGCCTGACTTCTCTTTCCCTCTGCCTCCCCCAACGTTACTGGAACTCTTCATCCTGTTAGATCTTCTGAGCTTGTTTCCCTGCTGGGTGGGACAGAGGACACAAGGAGAAGGGAGGGTCTAGAAGAGGCAACCCTTCTTTGTCCTCTGAGGTAAATGAGCTTGACCTAGAGCAAATGGAGAGACCAAAAGCCTCTGATTTTTAATTTCCATAAAATGTTAGAAGTATATATATACATATATATATTTCTTTAAATTTTTGAGTCTTTGATATGTCTAAACAAAAAATCCATTCCCTCTGCCCTGAAGCCTGAGTGAGACACATGAAAAAAACTGTGTTTCATTTAAAGGGGTTAATTAAATGATTGAAACTTGGCTGTGCCTATTGCTTCTTAATGTGGGGGGGACAGGGCAGTGGCCTGGGCCCACATTTAGAAGGGAAAATGTTTTGCCTGCTGCACACATTGGACCCAAGTATGGGCCTCTTCTGCCTAGTACTGCCAAAGGGACTGTCAAGGTGTTTTGTCCATCTTATACCCCCCACCCCCCCATTACAGGGTAAAGGAACCCCAGACCAGGTGAGGGGCCATCAGCTGCCTCACACTTGTGTTCTCTCCTGAGATGGTACAGCTTACATCCAGACACCCTTGTTCAGACATTTTATTTGAATTTATGACAATGATGGGGATTGAACCGAGATGCCTTATGGAGAAGTACCCCACCCTCTCTGAAGACAGAATCACTCCCTGCCATTCATTCTGCCTGATGCTAACATGCAGCTGGTTTAGGGAATGTCCCAGGCTAGCTGGATCAAGGGAAATTCCAAGAGCCCTGGGGCAGGCCCTGCCCCCCAGTGCCAAGCCTCAGTGTAAGCAGACGTTGGGAAAGCTGCCAACCACTTGGTAGACCACTAGGTTCTCTGTTTTCCCTTCCCTTTCCTTTTCAAATCCCACAGTTTCCTGTTGGGGAGAAGCTGTAATTAGCCCCGTCCAGGTACTGGATCCCAGCTAGAGGCGCAGCTGCTGGGATAACTCCAAGAAAACCTGGGCACCAGTATTTTTCCAATTACAAGGACTGTGGCATAAATTTTTAAATGAGTTATACTGAAACCAGATTTCTCCAGCTGCCAAGGGAAGAAGGTAGGGCTGGACTCCCTGCTGCGGCCCAGCCCTTGTTAGGGGTCGGTCTCTCACTGCAGCCAGACAGGATGATCCTGGGTTCCGGGGAGGGTGAGCTGCCCATTGCTGATTTCTGCACCGAATAGAGTCCAAACCCGCTGCTTCCATGTCCTGAGAGATGGGCAGATGGGTGATGGATGGAGCAGACTGCAGAGAGCAGATGACACGGTGGTGGAAGAAGGGAGGAAGATGCTGGGCTGGCTAGCTAATGTTCCCCCCTTTCAGCGATTTACAGGAAATGGACCCCAGCTTGGTCATGAAGTTGGTTTGCTTCCACTGTGCGATGCACTCCTCAGAAATTTTAAAGTCAGCCTGGACAAGATAGATAAAAATGATTTTAATGATGGTGGTGGGACTGCAAGAAAACCCTTTTTTTTTTTTTTTTTTTTTTTTTGAGGCAGAGTTTTGCTCTTGTTGCCCAGGCTGGAGTGCACTGGCGTGATCTTGGCTCACCACAACCTCTGCCTCCCAGGTTCAAGTGATTCTCCTGCCTCAACCTCCTGAGTAGCTGGCACTACAGGCAGGCACCACCACACCCAGCTAATTTTGTATTTTTACTAGACATGGGGTTTCTCCATGTTGGTCAGGCTGGTCTTGAACTCCCGACCTCAGGTGATCCACCTGCCTTGGCCTCCCAAAGTGCTGGGATTACAGGCGTGAGCCACCGCGCCCAGCCTGAAAACTCTCTTATATACCAGTAGGGTAAGCTGGCTCAGCTTTTCTAAGAGATGTTTGTCAAAAGCTTTCACATTCATCTTTTGACTCAAGTAAGTTCATTTTAGGGAGTTAGTTTAAGAAAATAAACCTAAGTGCAAAGGCCTATGCACCAAGACATCTGTCACAGTCACATCATTCTAACAGTGAAAAACAGAACAACCTCAATGTCTAGTAAGAGTTTAGATTTTGACAATTATGGTAGAATACTATACAGTGCAACCCCTCGATTTTTTTTTTTTTTTTTTTTTTTTTTGAGATGGAGTTTTGCTCCTATTGCCCAGGCTGGAGTGCAATAGCGTGATCTCGGCTCACCACAACCTCTACTTCCCAGGTTCAAGCGATTCTCCTGCCTAAGCCTCCTAAGTAGCTGGGATTACAGGCATATGCCACCATGCCTGGCTAATTTTGTATTTTTAGTAGAGACGGGGTTTCTCCATGTTGGTCAGGGTTGTTTGGTCTCGAACTCCCGCCCTCAGGCGGATCCTCTGGCCTTCCTCAGCCTCCCAAGTGCTGGATAGGGAGGCGTGATAAGAACATGGCCAGGATGGATCTCAGGCCCGCCTCGGCCCAAAGTGCTAGGATTAGAGGCGTGAAAGAAATCATGGCCAGGAGGCTCGGCGCAGTGGCTCATGCCTGTAATCCCAGCGCTTTGGGAGGCCCAGATGGGTGGATCACGAGGTCAGGAGCTTGAAACCAGCCTGGCCAACATGGTGAAACCCCATCTCTACTAAAAATACAAAAATCAGCTGCATGTGGTGGCAGGCACCTGTAATCCCAGCTACTTAGGAGGCTGAGGCAGGAGAATTGCTTGAACCTGGGAGGCGGAGGTTGCAGTGAGCTGAGATTGTGCCACTGCACTCCAGTTTGGGCGACAGAGCAAGACTCCATCTAGGAAAAATAAATAAATAAATAAAATAAAATAAAATAAAAATCATGGCCAGGTACAGTAGCTCATGCCTATAATTCCAGTGCTTTGCAAGGCTGAGGCAGGAGAATCACTTGAGTCCAGGAGGTTTACAGGCTTGAGGTTACAGGGAGCTATGATGGTACCACTGTAATCCAGCTTGGGTGAGAGTGAGACCCTGTTTCTAATTAATAAACAGCATTTAGCATGACAAACTGTAAACGTATTATCACTCCAAGCATAGCAAAAGACCAGAAGGAAATAATCACTAATGACATTCTTTAGTATCTCTAGGTGGCAGGACTAGGATATTGTGGTTTTTCTGTTTGTTTTTCTCCTATATTTTAGATGTTTTCTACCATTAAAATTTATTTTATAGCCAGAAAAAAGAGATTCACAAAGTCAGCCTAGAAAACCAGGAAAGGAGGGAGTAGGCAAAGCAAATGGCCTCATGCAAGAGGATGGAGAGTAGAAACGACTCTCAGTGTCCTCCAGAAGCACTTACCTATCTCACTGAAGAAACACGGTATTAACTAGAAAGAGTCACCCATAAGTGTTAGTTCCATGAGGAGAGTCAACTCCTACTGCTTTATTCATTGAGGTAGGCCAAGCACCCAGAATACTGCCTGACACCTACATTATGGACTCGGTATTCGTTAAATGAATGAATGAATAAATTCAAGGATCACTGGGGAAGGCCAGATCTTCATTGTCCAGAAAGCAAGGAGACAACGAGTGCTCTAAACTCAAGGTGGGCAGGAGGGACCCTGGGAAGGTTTTGATCCTGGCCTTATCATTTCTTTTCTTTTTTTTTTTTTTTGAGACGGAGTTTCACTCTTGTTGCCCAGGCTGGAGTGCAATGGCACGATCTTGGCTCACTGCAACCTCTGCCTCCCAGGTTCAAGCAATTCTCCTGCCTCGGCCTCCGGAGTAGCTGGGATTACAGGCACCCACCACCATGCCCGGCTAATTTTTTGTATTTTTAGTAGAGACAGGGTTTCACCACGTTGGCCAGGCTGGTCTTGAATTCCTGACCTCAGGTGATCTGCCTGCCTTGGCCTTCCAACGTGCTGGGATTATAGGAGTGAGCCACCGCACCTGGCCCTGCCCTCATTATTTCTGGTGACCCTATGTGGCCTTGTCAGGTAACCTGCCAGGTAAAATGGGGATAATCTATCACAGACTGAAGATCAAATGAAGAAATGTCTGAAGTCCCTCACACAGGGCCTCAAATGATCTGTTGGAGATGTAATGCAAGGTCCTAAGACCCCCATGCTCCTCAGGCACCTTGAATTCAGAAAGATCTGGAAAGGAGGAGGAAGAGAGGGACTCAAATGCAGGAAGTCCCAACAGAGAGGGGCAGCTATGGCTTCAGTAACAGGACAGTCTGGAGACACAGTCCAGGCAGCCCAGCCAAGAAGGAGAACAATTACAGCTTTTTACCTGCAACTTCTCGAAGACTTTCTTCTTGGGCTTGAGCTCCTCATCTGGTTGGCCCTTTTCATAGCCCTTCACAAACACGCGCTCACCAGGAGCAGAGCCTGCCGGAGGGTCCAGAGGTTCAACCTGGCGGTTTATCCCTTCTCTGGGAAGACACACAGGACAAGGGAAGGGTGAGGTTATGGATGGGTTCCAGTGACTGTGGAGGCCAAAGCAATCTGGGCCTTTACACAGGGGCCCTGATGGGATTTAGGGCATCCTCAGTACCAGAGCCCCAGGAGGTCCTCTTATCTTGCTACATCTCTGCACATCACCAGGGTTAGATTAACCCAGGCTATACCAAAATTGTGTGTCAGGAGAGATACCAAAATCTGTGTTTCTAGGGGAGGAAGTATAAAATAACATAGCAAGGACTTTATAGACATCAAAACTGGGATTTGAATCCCTGCACCACTCCTTACTAGCAGTAAGACTTGGACATGTACTGGTTTGAGCCCTCCATTTCTATTTTAACAAAATTAACTGTAGGTAAAATGCTTCATTCACAGTACTTGTACAGTAAGTCCTTCATGCATCAACTTTTGGCATCAGCGAGGAAGAGGCACGTGTTCTCACAGCTTCCACCTGGTGTGTGGAAGGACTTCATATGGGCTGATTCCCCACTCTTCCTGGCCTCCCCAGGTCCTGTGCCCCACCCCAAGTCCTCACTCACATAGAAGCACACAGAAGCATGCCTTGGGACTCGACTCCTCTCATCTTCTGGGGTTTCAGGTTGCAGAGCACCACTACCAGCCTGTCCTGCAGTTCCTCTTTGGGCACGAACTGTACCAGGCCGCTCACTACAGTCCGTGGTTCAGCTTCCCCCACGTCAATCTTCTCCACATATAGGCTGTCTGCATCTGGGTGCTGCCAGGGAGACGTCAGGAGGAAGAGCATCATTATCCATTAGAAAAGCAGCCTGGTGAACTCTTGGATTCCAGAAAAGAGCACCCACTCCTTACAGAGGCCCTGGAAGGACCCCCTAGAGCTAACTTTCTTTCTGGGTCCCAGACAGCAGACAGGAGAATGGGCTCTGAAGGTATATTCTGCTCTCAACTGAGGCCAGATTTGAGTAAAATGGACCTAGATGCTCGTGTTAAGAGGTGGAAGGATCTCTGATAGAGATTAAACGACCCAGACTGTCTAGATGGCTACCATTATGGTGCACGTGCTGCACCAGACAGGTCCTAGGTGGGCTGGGAGATGGGAGGGGGACAATTGCTGGCCTTGCCATCTGATGCAGGAGCACCAGAATTGATCTCAGGGTGGTTTTGGTGGTTGGGGTACACAGTGAGAAGTAAATCAATGCTGAAGGGAAAAAAAGCCCAGAACAATGGTCCCAGGCCACTGGGTGCATAACCTTCTGTCTCTGGGAAAAAGGAAGTCATCTTCCCTCTACCACTTTCTGAAGCGGGCAAAGTGGCTCATCCAAGATGAGGCCTGTAGCTAGTCCAGGCAAGCTGATGGGGATCAGATGAGTCCATCAGACCAGATTTAACAGATAAACAAGTTCCCTCTGACTAACATCCGTCCCCCATGCCGAGTTCCTGGCTGTGTTTGGTTGCGTAATGTCCACAGGCGACAATCGCAACAGAAAGCCTGATGCCTGGAATTAGACACCTGCACTCTGACTTGCAATATGACCTCAGGATGTTACTTCCCATCTCCAGGCCACGTTTCCTCCGGATGGAAACAGACAAACCTGACCCCATCTGCCTCTCTGAGATGTGGTGAAAAATGAGTACCTTCTCCACAGTGATGATTTTCCCCACACGGATATCCAGCCGGGATGGGATGACCTCCTCTGGTTCTGAATTCTTGGCAGGGCCTTTGGCCATTGGCTCTAGGAATGAGAAGAACCCCATGAGGTAGAATTCTTCCCTGTGGCAGATCAGCTGCTGATCACACCACGTGAAGACACTGATATTAGGTAAGATTTAGCGTAGAATCCCCAGAGTCTACTGAGTTATAACTTCTTTAATACTGGGTTGGCAACCTTTCAGACATGACAAACCTGATTTTCATCTGTTCTCTCCCTCAATTATTAGACTAGAGGGGAGGGAGCAGTAGTAACTTTGCCTCCTTTAGGTATTTCCATTCATGCATTCTATATAGAATTTGCTGAGTCTTGGCCAGGTATGGTGGCTCACACTTGTAATTCTAGCACTTCGGGAGGCCAAGGCGGGAGGATTGCTTAAGCCCAGGAGTTAAAGACCAGCCTGGGCAACAGAGCCAGACCGTCTCTTTTTGAAAAATTAAAAAAAAAAAAAAAAAAAATTTTACTCAGTTAACTTAGTTTTTTTCTAGAAGGGTCGCACAAAGCTATCAATGCCAGTATCTCAGCATTTTGCATAAGTGGATGGCCAACTAAGAGCTAGGCCTATGCACATAGAAGGAAACTGGGAGAATCTAAAGATAAGCTTCTCTAAGCTCTGCAGGCTCTGCCCAACAGCTGTATAAGAGACTGTCTATATACCAGTTGGGTATAATAGGTCTAACCTAATTTCTATCATTTTTCCTTTTTTGAGACATAGAGTCTCACTCTGTTGCCCAGGCTGGAGTGCAGTGGTGCAATCATGGTTCACTGCAGTGTCAACTTCCCTATGCTCAGGTGATCCTCTCACCTCAGCCTCCCAAGTAGCTGGGACTACAGGCATGTGCTACTATGCCCGGCTAATTTTTTTTTTTTGGGGGGGGCGGGTAGAGACTGGGTTTTGATCTCTAACTTTTGGGCTCAAGTGATCCACCTGCCTCAGCCTTCCAAAGTGTTAAGATTACAGGTGTGAGCAACTGTGTCTGGCCCCAGTCACTATCTTTAATGAAGAGGCAGATTTAGCAAACAGACTAGAAGAACCAAAGTATATATCTTACACCAGCAGCTCTCAGCAATGCTGGTACAAAAGGATGTGATCACTTCCTGGTGTTCACCAAAGCCAAATCAAAATGACTCAAGTTCCATTCTAGGAGCCAGTAGGACGTGACATTCCTGCACTCAGACCCCCTGGGTTGTTGTGCCCTCAACTGAAGACAGGCATTTTTCCAAGGCTCATTGACAAGCTCCCTCTCCTGATGACATCGGCCCCTTTCCGGCTGGCCTTACTCTGCTTCGAGGGATCTGGGTAGGCAGCGCTGGCCAGTTTCTTCAGGGCAGGGGTATTAAACTTTTCCCGGATTGGATCCAGCAACTTGTTCAGCGCGACTTCAACAGAATTCTTTAGGTCTCCAGGATGTACAACCTGCAGAATCAAACAAGACCTAGTGAGATAAGGTCTAGAACAGGGCACAGGACACCTGAATCCAAGAAAGTAGGATCAAGGGAGTTTTTCCCAACAGTCTTATTTGATCCTTGTGATAATCTTGTGAGGCAGGTAGAAAAGAGAAGGGAAAACACATTCAGAAAGACTAACGTGTCCGAAATCCAAGTCTTTTGATTCTGAAATCTATACTAACTTGAGGGTGTTTAGGAGCTGAATGTATTTGTTAGTCTAATTCTTCTAGTCCCTCCATTTATGCTTAGAGTAGGGTCACAGACCAAGTGGTATTTACAAGCAGAGAAACATTCACATAGGTAATCCAAGGCCTAAAGATAACCTGAGGGAGAGAGCTGAGTAAGAAGAAAGAGCAAGGGCTTTGGAGTTCGACAGACCGAGATTAGATTCCCAGCTAGCTGTGTGTGACTCCAAACTAGGCACATAACCCCTCTAAGCTTTGGCTGATTCTTTTTTTCTTTTCTTTTTGTAGAGACAGGATCTCGCTATGTTACCCAGGCTGGTCTTGAACTCCTGGGTTCAGGCAATCTGCCTGCCTCTGCCTCCCAAAGTGCTGGGATTACAGGCATGAGCCAATGCACTCGGCCAGTGTTGGCTTTGTTACTTATAAAGTGAGGCTAATAATAGCTATATCTCACAGGACGGGGATGAGGGTTAAATCACTGAATGTGGGTGAAAATGATAACACTGCTGGTACATGGTAATAGTTCAGTAATTCCATTTTGTTGCTTGTGTCCTGTGACTGCCCTTTTTTTGAGTCTTGCTCCGTTGCCCAGGCTGGGGTGCAGTGGTGCAATTTCAACTCACTGCAACCTCTGCCTCCCGGGTTCAAGCGATTCTCCTGCCTCAGCCTCCTGAGTAGCTGGGACTACAGTCGCATGCAGCCATGCCCAGCTAATTTTTTGTATTTTAGTACAGACAGGGTTTCACCGTGTTGCCCAGACTGGTCTTGAACTCCTGACCTCGTGATCCACCTGCCTCAGCCTCCCAAAGTACTGGGATTACAGGTGTGAGCCACCGTACTTGGCTGACTGCCTTTTTTATATCTCAAATCTGGTCTGAAAGAATCTTCTAGATATTCTGAGGGGACATCCCTTAGGAATGAACACTTTTAATACAACAATGCGAACATTTTTGTTTCTGATGCTACTTCTTCATTTCCTTGGGAATATTTAAGTTTAATAAAAAGCTCTAGGGCTGCCACTGTCCAATATGGTGGTTACTAGCCTTGTGTGGGTATTTAAATGTAAACTGAAATTCCCTTCTTCAGCTGCGCCTGCCACATTGCAAGTGCTCAACAGCCACATGTGGCCTCTGTATCAGGCAGTACAGATAGGGCATATCCACCACCACAGAAAGTACTGTTGGATAACGTGGCTGCAGGCCTTTTTTCTGAGGCATTTCATCTATTCCTAATTCTCACAAAAGACTTTTTTTCTGAGACATGGTCACGCTGTTACCCAGCTGGAGTGCAGTGATGCAATCATGGCTCACTGCAGCTTTGATCTCCTTCCTGGGCTCAAGCGATCCTCCCACCTCAGCCTTCCCAGTAGCTGCGACTATAGGCATGCGCCATCATGGCTGGCCAGTATTTTTTTTTTTTTTTTTGTAGAGACAGAGTCTCACTATGTTGCCCAGGCTAGTCTTCAACTCCTGAGCTCAAGCCAATTCTCCTGCCTTGGCCTCCCAAAGTGCTGAGATTACAGGTGTGAGCCACTGCACCTGGCATATATTAACATTTCTAACAGCCCCAATAAATTGATTGGACCTGAATTCAGAATCACTCACAACACCTCCCATTTCTTTTTTTTTTTTTTTGAGACGGAGTGTCGCTCTGTCGCCCAGGCTGGAGTGCACTGGCCGGATCTCAGCTCACTGCAAGCTCCACCTCCCGGGTTTACGCCATTCTCCTGCCTCAGCCTCCCGAGTAGCTGGGACTACAGGCGCCCGCCACCTCGCCTGGCTAGTTTTTTTTTGTTTGTTTAGTAGAGACAGGGTTTCACCGTGTTAGCCAGGATGGTCATGATCTCCTGACCTTGTGATCCGCCCGTCTCGGCCTCCCAAAGTGCTGGGATTACAGGCTTGAGCCACCGCGCCCGGCCAACACCTCCCATTTCATTCCCTATATACGGTATTATGTCTTCTTCCCTTTGTGACCTGGCCCTGCCTATCTATCCCACAATACCCCCCCTCACCTTTTAGACTCTAGTCAGATCAAACCACCTGCAATTCCTCATACATCATGCTGTTTCATCCTACCATGTCTTTGTACAATTTATTCCCTCACAGATTTCCTTGTGAACTCCTATTCCTCAAGCAAAATAGTGCTTGGATAGTGTCTCCTCCACAAGTTTTTCTAGAGAGTCAGTTAATCACTTCCTCCTATATTATTTCTGGTGTATATATATATATATATATATACTCTTTTCATTATATATATTCACATGTAATATGTATTTTCACACCTTATATTCACATATATACACACATATGTTAAAATATATATATAGATACATATGTAAAATGCAGCCAATGAAATATTTACAAGTCTGCCTCTCCTACTGGACTGAGCTTTAGGAGGACTGAACCCTCTGTGTAATACCAGTCCCTAGCATAGTGCCTAACACATGGGCACCTAGTAAGTCTTTTGTTAAAGTGTCTGTTGAAATGAATAGGAGCCTCTATTCTGTCCTTTTATAATTATCTCTTATTTTTGAACCCTGATTTTGCACCTGTTCCTGAAATACTTCATCTTTGCTGAGTTCAGTTCTTTATTCCAGCCTGCTAAGTCCTTTGGAGAGTGATTAAAGCACCAGTATGTTAGCTTTGTACCATTTGCCTATCGAATCTGGGAACCACCTGAATCCTCATCGAAGCCATTAACAAAATATGCAGCCCTGGAGAGCATAGACAGAGCCCTGGCTGGGCGCAGGGGCTCACACCTGTAATCCCAGCAATTTGGGAGGCCGAGGTGGGCAGATTACCTGAGGTCAGGAGTTCAAGACCAGTCCAGCCAACATGGTGAAACCCCATCTCTACTAAAAAATACAAAAAGTAGCCGGTGTGGTGGCAGGCACCTGTAATCCCAAGTACTCGGGAGGCTGAGGCAGGAGAATCGCTTGAACCTTGGAGGCACAGGTTGCAGTGAGCCAAGATTGTGCCACTGCACTCCAGCCTAGGCAACGGAGTGAGACTCCATCTCAAAAAAAAAAAAAAACCCGCAAAAACACAGAAAAAAACCCCTGCGGCATATAACTACAAACCTGGCAGGCCGAGATGGAGAGGTCTGGCAGAGTTCCGTGGGGATTATCTTTCTTTCTTTTCTTTTCCTTTCTTTCTTTCTTTTTGAAACAGAGTTTCACTCCTGTTGCCCAGGATGGAGTGCAGTGGCGCGATCTCAGCTCACCACAACTTCTGCCTCCCAGGTTCAAGCAATTCTCCTGCCTCAGCCTCCCGAGTAGCTGGGATTACAGACGCGCACCACCATGCCTGGCTAATTTTTTGTATTTTTAGTAAAGACGGGGTTTCTCCATGTTAGTCAGGCTGGTCTTGAACTCCCGACCTTAGGTGATCCGCCCACCTCAGCCTCTCAAAGTGCTGGGATTATAGGCGTGAGCCGCTGTGCCCAGTACATTCTTTTCTTTTCTTTCTCTCTCTCTCTTTTTTTTTTTTTTTTTTTTAGTATCTCATGTAATTTATTGAATATGGTACAGAAAGTGAAAAACAGAATGGTGGAATGGTTGTATGGGTACTTGAAGAAGTACGGTTTCTACTGAATGAGTACTGCTTTTGTACATCCTAAAGGGACCACCCGTGTGCATAAGATTACAGACATTTACTGATGAAAAATGTTTCCTGAGAAGAGGTGAGAGAGAGTCCCTGCCAGGTAAGGCCTTAAAGGGCCCTGAGGGATAGAAATCCATCTGCATTAACGAAATTCCTAAATCAGAAAAGCTAACTGACAAGAAACTTTAACCAAAACTGCAGTTTTGAAGGAAAATAGACACTGGTGAGATTACCAAAAGTAGAGAAAAAATACCAGGCAGCTTACTTCTACACAGAACAAGTTGTTCTAAAGTTCTAACAGTCAGCAAAAAATAAAATACAGATCTTCAGGAAAGGATTCCTTTTCCTTTCATATTACCTCAGCAGCAAAGTCCTTTTCCAGGTCCGTGTAAGCTGTGTAGGTTTTGTTTCCACCCCATTTCTCATCTCGTAGGATCACAAACTCTGTAAGGAAAAGGATCCATGTCAGCAAACTCATTGACAGTGGCAGAATCGGCATTCCTAACCCACATGCATGACTATTTGTAGTTTTTGCCATATATTCTGAACTTTATGGTATGGTATTTTATTATTCTTAGATTGGATGAATGGCACTATTATATACCCAGCTAGAATCTCAGCTGCTTCAGGGGAAGGCTTGTGGCTTATATCTATTTTGTTGTATTCCTCTAGTTCAACATGTCTGCCCCCACCCTTACTTCTAACACCTCTGCCCACTCCAATATTCCCTCAGAACCTAGCCTGGTAATGAATATATGAACAATTAAATTACATCCCAACATCATTCATACTTTAATATATAAGAAATCAGAGCAGAGAATCAGGGCAGCCAGTCCCTGGAGGAACGGTCTGTGACAAATCACAAGTATGATCACAGCACGAATTTTTCTATTCTAGCCTGGCCTCTAGGAAGAAAACAGAGAGTATTACCGGACTTAAGAGGAAAAAGGACATGCTTGATGAAGGACAGAACCCCATTGTTCTCCACATTTCCTGGCTCACAGAAGGCCTTCTTCAGTTTTTTCTTCACATCCTCCTTCCGATCAAGGAGATCAATCTTGGACTCCTAGAAGTCATGGAAGGGAAAAGGACCTCTTGTGGTTTAAAATGAGAATATGCTCAACTGATATGAGCTAAATTTTGTTTTTTCTTCTCTGTCGCCCAGGCTGGAGTGCAGTGGCACAATCCTGACTCACCGCAGCCTCAACCTCCTGGGCTCAAGAGATTCTCCCATCTCAGCGTCCTGGAAAGCTGGGACTACAGGAATGTGTCACCATGCTCAGTTAATTCTTCTATTTTTTGTAGAGACAGGGTTTCATCATGTGGCCCAGGCGGGTCTCAAATTTCTGGGCTCAAGCAATTCTCCTGCCTTGGCCTCCCAAAGTGATGGGATTAAGGGTGTGAGCCACTGTGCCTAGCTAAAAAAAATTTTTTTACAAAGATTTTAACATTAGGTGCTTGCAGATATTTTCCTGTGGACATGGTAAAAATAAATAAAAAAAAATACATACATATTTTTGAGACGGAGTCTCACTCTGTCGCCCAGGCTGGAGTGCAGTGGTGTGATCTTTGCTCACTGCAAGCTCCGCCTCCTGGGTTCACGCCATTCTCCTGCCTCAGCCTCCTGAATAGCTGGGACTACGGGCGCCCATCACCACACTCAGCTAATTTTGTTTTTGCATTTTTAGTAGAGATGGGGTTTCACGGTGGTAGACAGGATGGTCTCGATCTCCTGACCTAGTGATCCGCCTGCCTTGGTCTCTCAAAGTGCTGGGATTACAGGCGTGAGCCACCGTGCCCCGGCAATAAAAATATTTTAACATTAGGCTGGGCACAGTGGCTCACGCCTGTAGTCTTACTACTTTGGGAGGCTGGAGGGTCGCTTGAGCCCAGGAGTTCAAGACCAGCATGGGCAACACAGACCTCATCTCTACTGAAAACAAAAGAATAGCTGGGTGTGGTAGTATGCACCTGTGGTCCCAGCTACTCGGGAGGCTGAGGCAGGAGGATCACTTGAGCCCAGGAGGTTGAAACTGCAAGGCATGATCATGCTACTACACTCCAGCCTGGGCGACAGAGTGAAAAACCACTCAAAATGCTGCCATCTAACAAATTAAACTATTTTATTTTTTGTGTTCTTCTCAGGCTGTTTATAGCACACAAAATTGTTATGAATTTGTAGTTGGAGAATAAAAGTCTATCTTTTAAGTATTTCTGAGTGGCTACCTGGTCCTTCCTTATAATTTTTTTTTCTTTTGAGATGGTCTCACTCTGTTGCTCAGGATGGAGTACAGTGGTGCAATTATAGTCCACTGTAACCTCAAACTCCTGCCATTAAGTGATCCTCTGACCTCAGCCTCATGAGGAGCTAGGACTACAGGTGTACACAACCATACCTGGCTAATTTTTTTTTTTTTTGAGACAGAGTTTTGCTTTTGTTGTCCAGGCTGGAGTGCAATGGCGTGATCTCTGCTCACCACAACCTCCGCCTCCCGGGTTCAAGCAGTTCTCCTGCCTCAGCCTCCCAAGTAGCTGGGATTACAGGCATGCACCACCATGCCCGGCTAATTTTGTATTTTTAGTAGAGACGGAGTTTCTCCATGTTGGTCAGGCTGGTGTGGAACTCTCGACCTTAGGTGATCCACCTGCCTTGGTCTCCCAAAGTGCTGGGATTACAGGCGTGAGCCACTGCGCCTGGCATGCCTAGCAAATTTTTATTTTTGTTAAAATGGGGTCTCACTGTGTTGCCCAGGACAGTCTCAAACTCCTGGCCTCTAGCAATCCTCCTGCCTCAGCTTCCCAAAGTGTTGGGATTGATAGGATCTCACTTGCTTTGCCACCCAGGCTGGAGTGTGGTGGCATGATCATGGTCCACTGCAACCTTTGCCTCCCAGGCTCAAGTAGTCCTCCTACCTCAGCCTCCCAGGTAGCTGGGACTATTGGTGCATGCCACCATGCCTAGCTGTTAAAATTTTTTGTAGTGATGGGGTTTTATCATGTTGCCAAGGCTGGTCTTGAACCCCTGGACTTGAGTTAGCTGCCTACTTTGGCTTCCCAAAATGCTAGGATTACAGGTGTGAACCACAATGTATGGCCTACTTACAGTTTTTATGCTGTATTATATTCCCAATAATTAGTGGAAACATAATTTAATAAACTCCAAACTCTTAGATTCTATGCTAATTTTTACAAATTACATATAATGCTACATTGGACATCTTTGCAGAGTTTTTTTGCCTTCTCTAGAATCATTTCATTAAGCTGCCCAAAATTGCTAGGTTCAAAATTGGTTTTTGAAAGGTATCCTAATCAACATCGCTGTCAACAATGTGTGAGGCTACTGGTTCACAGCAATCAGCCACACTAGGTATTATATATTATCTACAGTCATTTTTCCTTTTTAGGTAATAGGCTTTGTTTCTTATTTGGAAAGAGTGAGTTCATAGTCATTTGAGTTCAGTGGTTACCAAATTCTAGCTCACATGTGACAGTATATGAATCACCTTTGACTGGGTTCCACCCAAACCTAATGAGTCAAAATCTCTTGGGATTGGGCCAGGCAATCTTTTTTTTTTTTTGAGATGGAGTCTCACTCTGTGGCCTAGGCTGGAGTGCATGCAGTGACACAATCTTGACTCAGTGCAACCTCTGCCTCCTGGGTTCAAGTGATTCTCCTGCCCAGCCTCCTAAGTAGCTGGGATTACAGGTGCCTGCCACCACACCCAGCTGAATTTTGCATTTTCTTTTTTTTTTTTTTTTGAAGCGGAGTCTTCACTCTGTCGCCCAGGCTGGAGTGCAGTGGCACCATCTCGGCTCACTGCAAGCTCCGCCTCCCGGGTTCGCGCCATTCTCCTGCCTCAGCCTCCGGAGTAGCTGGGACTACAGGCGCCCGCCACCGCGCCCGGCTAATTTTTTTGTATTTTAGTAGAGACGGGGTTTCACCGTGTTAGCCAGGATGGTCTCGATCTACTGACCTCGTGATCCGCCCGCCTCGGCCTCCCAAAGTGCAGGGATTACAGGCGTGAGCCACCGCGCCCGGCCGAATTTTGCATTTTCAGTAGAGAAGGGGTTTCACCATGTTGGCCAGGCTGGTCTGGAACCCCTGACCTCAGGTGATCCACCCGCCTTGGCCTCACAAAGTGCTGGGATTACAGGTGTGAGCCACTGTCCCTGGCCTGTTTTTTTTTTGAGAGGGAGTCTCGCTCTTGTTGCCCAGGCTGGAGTGCAATGGCATGATCTCGGCTCACTGCAACCTCCGCCTCCTGGGTTCAAGCAGTTATCCTGCCTAAGCCTCCCGAGTAGCTGGGATTACAGGCACCTGCCACCACGCCTGGCTAATCTTTGTACTTTTATTAGAAATGGGGTTTCACCATGTTGGACAGGTTGGTCTCGAACTCCTGACCTCAGGTGATTCGTCTGCCTTGGCCTCCCAAGGTGCTGGGATTACAGGCATGAGGCACCACGCCGGTCTTTTTTTTTTAAATTTGTTTATTCTATTCTATTTATTTTATTTTATTTTATTTTTTTCTTGAGATGGAGTCTCGCTCTGTCGTCCAGGCTGGAGTGTAGTGGCGCCATCTCGGTTCACTGCAAGCTCCACCTCCTGGGTTCACGCCATTCTCCTGCCTCGGCCTCTGGAGTAGCTGGGACTACAGACGCCCGCCACCACGCCCAGCTAATTTTTTGTATTTTTAGTAGAGACGGGGTTTCACCGTGTTAGCCAGGATTGTCTTGATCTCCTGACCTTGTGATCCGTCTGCCTCGGCCTCCCAAAGTGCTGCGATTACAGGCGTGAGCCACCAGGCCCGGCTTAAATTTGTATTTTAAAAAACTTTTTGGCTGGGTTTATTATTAATATATATTTATTATATAATATATATTTACTTTAATATATATTATATATAGTATATATCATATATTATATATACATAATTTTTAAAAAAGGCCGGCGCAGTGGCTCACGCTTGTAATCCCAGCACCTCGGGAAGCCAAGGCAGACGGATCACCTGAGGTCAGGAGTTCGAAACCAGCCTGTCCAACATGGTGAAACACATATATATATATAAACTTCTCCAAGTGATTCTGATTTGGGAACTACTGCTAGGCCTGATTACCAGGGTGAAGAAACAGCAAATGTCACCAAACAGGATGAGTGATATGATATTTGTCAGAGTAATAAGTGACATAAGGAGTATTTTAATGTGAGAGAAAAGGGAATGAGTATATTCTTTAAAAATATGGTAACAGGGAGGTCAGACGCAGTGGCTCACACCTGGAATCCCAGCACTTTGGGAGGCCGAGGAGGGTGGATCACGAGGTTAGGAGTTCAAGACCAGCCTGGCCAAGATGGTGAAACCCCTTCTCTACTAAAAACACAAAAATTAGCCAGGCGTGATGGCACGTGCCTATAATCCCAGCTACTCAGGAGGCTGAGGCAGGAGAATTGCTTGAACCCAGGAGGCAGAGGCTGCAGTGAGCTGAGATCATGCCACTGTACTCCAGCCTGGGCGACAGAGCAAGACTCCATCTAAAAAAAAAAAAAGAAAACAAAATGGTAATGGGGTGAGGTTGGAAAACAACAACAAAAACAAAAAAATACAACAGTATACATGCATATAATCACCAATGTCTGATCAAAGTTTGAGATGTCATATTTAAAGAACTAGATGAGTGTCCAGATGTGACTTAAACCAGAATCACCTAGTAGGACTTCAAAGAAAATACAGATTCCTGGTCAGGCATGGTGAGTCACACCCATAATCTCAGCACTTTGGGAGGCCGAGGAGGGCAGATGACTTGAGGTTAGGAGTTTGAGACCAGCCTGGCCAACACGGCGAAACCCCGTCTCTACTAAAAAATACAAAAATTAGCTAAGCGTGTTGGTAGGCACCTGTAGTCCCAAGCTACTCAGGAGGCTGAGGCAGGAGAATTGCTTGAACCTGGGAGGTGGAGGTTGCAGTAAGCTGAGATCGCACCACTGCACTCCAGCCTGGGTAACACAGTGAAACTATCTCAGAAAAAGGAAAAAAAAAAAAAAAAAAAAGGGAGAGGAAGGAAGGAAGGAAGGAAATACAGATTCCTGAGTTCCTCTCAGAACTACTTTATCAGAATCTCTGTGGACAAGGTCTAATCAACACTTTTTTTTTTTTTTTTTTTTAAATTCCCTAGATGATTCTGAAGATAAGCCATGTTTGGGAACCCAGAACTCAACCTTTCACATCTTTGGATTTCCACGCTCTAATGATCAGAATCAAAGTGAACTTTCCTTCAAGTACATGAGCTCAAGAGGGACTCTTAAATATTAAAAGATATCATAATATTAGTGATATCAAGTATTACCCTAGGAATCAAAATGCTAATTAGTGAAAGGCAACCATAGTGCTCTCATTAATAAGGCTGAATTTTATCACAGTTCTATGAACAAAGAAATTACTTTTGCTTATATATATTTTTTATCAGCAGCAAAAACCATTAAGTTATGATTAGATCTCATCAGGACTGCTCTGGATCCTTCGATACTAAAGAACCACTGAAAGAACTGAATGGTGTGAGGCATCTTCTAACTCAAATATTGGAGAATTCTAGTTAGCCAGGTCACTGTTCTTTTCAGTCCTCCATCTGTCCACTGAGGCTGAAGATTTCTAAATTGAAGTCTCAGCTGACAACTTACCTCTTCTGAAGAGCTCATTTTGCTGCCTGTTAATCCTGGAACCATAGGATTCATCAGATGGACCCGTTTTGAATAGCCAAGTGCAGGGAGGTACTGAGAGATTAGAGAAACACACAAAAGCAGGTATTAGTCTAAGTTCCTCCTCAGTGCCCTGATCTCATCTAACTTGGCCAGCAACTGAGTAGCTGTTATATTGCTTCCAATCTTTTTATACCAAATATAAAGATTTAGTTTTTGACAGTGATTGTAATTCAAGCAAAGTTTTTTTCCCTACTGCTTTTCTGTCGTATTACATTGTGAGGCTATTGGATTTACGTCACCGTAAACAATAAAAGATGGAAATACATAAAACAACAGGGTAAGCTGGGCGCGGTGGCTCACACCTGTAATCCCAGCACTTTGGGAGGCTGAGGTGGGTGGATCACCTAAGGTTAGGAGTTCGAGATGAGCCTGGCCAACATGGTGAAACCCCATCTCTACTAAGAATACAAAAATTAGCCGAGCGTGGTGGCAGGCACCTGTAATTAATCCCAGCTACTCGGGAGGCTGAGGCAGTAGGACTGCTTGAACCCGGGAGGCAGAGGTTGCAGTGAGCCGAGATCGTGCCACTGCACTGCAGCCTGGACAACAAGAGCGAGACTCCACCTCAAAAAACAAAAACAAAAAACAAAACAAAAAAACCCAACAGGGCAGCAAATCTTGAGCGAAGGGAAGTAAGGTGACTACACACTCGCCTTGGCTTTCTCACTGAGGGTATTTTTTTGCAAACCAGGTGCTGAGAAAAAGAGACCAAGCAGACAGTAAGAGACTAAGCAGGGGAAACGGCTATTGGAGTTCAGGGCTGCAGGAGGCTAGGGATTGGGATGGGTTCTTCAGCCTATGTCAAAATTCCCCACTGACTTCTTGGCTGACTCATAACTGTGTATGCACATAGTGAGATACCAGGAAGTCTGGCAGAGAACAGGCTCTGGGAGGCTGGAGACCTCGGCAAAGATTTTGGAGGCTGCACAGTATTGGGGAGACAGAGATGAAAGTTTAGGTCCAATCAAAGTAGAGAGGGCTTTCTGAACACCCTGATATTTCAGTTTGAGTCTCTAGAAAGGCCATGCTCTAGGAATAAGGACCACACCACAGGAGTAAAGGCCAAGCTGAAGTAGATGTGTTCTAACAAAGCCTAAAACCAACCCCTGACAGAACCCAGGTGATAAGTCAGTAATTTAGCAATCTACAGAAAACATAGCATCCTATAAACATAATCCAGAGGGTCTACAATGCATCTATAATCCCTTTGATACAAAAAAAAAAAAAAAAATATATATATATATATATATATATATATACTAGAAATGGGAAGCAGAGAAAAGTGGTTGACAGTCAAGAGAAAATAGTCAATAGAAACAGATTCAGAAACAATCCAGATATTGCAGTAAACAGGCCATGATGCCAAAATAACTGTGATTGGTATGTTAAAGAAAATAAGAGTACATAGGCAGAATAGGCAGGAAAAACAAACCAAAAAGGAAATAAGAAAAGACAGACAAAAATGGATGAAAGAGAACTGTAAAAGATAATTGGAATCTACAACAAGAATCAAATGGAAGTTCTAAAATGTCACAATTTAATACTGGATTTAACAGAAGACAGGATTGATAAACTTGAAGAAAGTTCAATAGAACAGATCCAAACTAAAGCACAGAGGGAACAAAGAAAGGAAAACAACAGAACAGAATATGAAACATGAGTTTTATAAAGCCCCTAGAGGAGAAAGAGAAAAAGAGAGAAGCAGTATTTGAGGAAATCATGGCAGACAATTACCCAAATTTGATGAAAACAAATCCACTGGTTCAAGAAGCTCAGCAAAATCTAAGCAGGATAAATACAAAGAAAACTATAGCTGAAAACATCATTGCTGGTCAGGCACAGCAGTTCACACCTGTAATTCTAGCAATTTGGGAGGCCAAGGCAGGCAAATCGTTTGAGCTCAGGAGTATGAGACTAGCCTGGCCAACATGGTGAAACTCCATCTCCGTAAAAAAATACAAAAATTAGCCAGGTGTGGTGGCGCACATCCATAGTCCCAGCTACTTGGGAGGCTGAGGTGGCAGGATCACCTGCGCCCAGGAAGTCGAGGCTGCAGTGAGCCAAGATCAATCACTCTAGCCTGGGCAATGCAAGCAAGACCCTGTCTCAAAGAAAACAGTAACAAAAACATCAGTCAAATTGCTGAAAATCAGAAACAAGAAAAAATCTTAAAAGCAGTCAGAGAAAAAACATATTATCTGTAAAGGAGAAACAATAATACTTACAGGTGACTTTTCAGTCGAAACTATGGAAGTCAGAAGCCAATGCAATGATTCTTTAAAGGTGCCAAAAGAAAAATAATTCCAAACTTCAAATTTCATACCCAGTGAAAGAAATAGATGTTTTCAGATAAAAGAAAGCTGAAAGAATTCATTACTGAAAGAACTGCACTACAAACACAAAATACTAAGTGGGGGCTCTTTAGGTTGAAGGAAAATGAACTCACACAGAAGCAAAGAACTGCAGGCAAGAATCAAGAGTATCAGAAAAGGGAAGTAGGGGTAGATATAGATGAAAAGTGACTTAAAAAACAATTATAGGCTGGGTGCAGTGGCTCACGCCTGTAATCCCAGCACTTTGGGAGGACAAGGTGGGCGGATCGCTTGAGGTCAGGAGTTCAAGACCAGCCTGGCCAACATGGTGAAACCCCGTCTCTACTAAAAATACAAAAATTAGCCGGGCGTGGTGGCGGGCACCTGTAATCCCAGCTACTCATTAGGCTGAGGCATGAGAATCCCATGACAGGCAGGCTGATGTTGCAGTGAGCCGAGATCACGCCACTGCACTTCAGCCTGGGCAATGGAGTCTCAGTCTCAGAAAAAAAAAAAAAAAAAAAAAAAAATTGTAATAATGTCTTTAAGATTTATTTTATTTTATTTTTGAGATAAAGTCTCTTTCTGTTGCCCAGCCTAGAGTGCAATGGTGCGATCTTGGCTTACTGCGACCTCTGCTTCCCAGGCTCCAAGAATTCTCCTGTGTCAGCCTCTTGAAAAGCTGGGATTATAGGTGCACACCACTGTGTCCGGCTAATTTTTGTATTTTTACTAGCAATGGGGTTTCATGATGTTGGCCAGGCTGGTCTCAAACTTCTGACCTCAGGTGATCTGCCTGTCTTGGCCTCCCAAAGTGCTGGGATTACAGGGGTGACCCACTGCACCCAGCCAAGGATTTAAAATTTATGTAAAAAATGAGTTTTGAGGCCGGGCGCAGTGACTCATGCCTGTAATCCCAGCACTCTGGGAGGCTGAGGCGGGCGGATCACGAGGTCAGGGGATCAAGACCATCCTGGCCAATATGGTGAAACCCCGTCTCTACGAAAAATACAAAAATTAGCTGGGCATGGTGGTGGGAGCCTGTAATCCCAGCTACTCAGGAGGCTGAGGCAGGAGAATGGCTTGAACCCAGGAAGCAGAGGTTGCAGTGAGTCAAGATCACATCGCTGTACTCCAGCCTGGTGACAGAGCAAGACTGTGTCTCAAAAAAAAAAAAAAAAGAGTTTTGCCGGGCACGGTGGCTCACACCTGTAATCTCAGCACTTTGGGAGGCCAAGGTGGAAAGATCACGAGGTCAGGAGATCGAGACCACCCTGGCTAACACGGTGAAACCCCATCTCTACTAAAAATGCAAAAAATTAGCCTGTAGTCCCAGCTACTTGGGAGGCTGAGGCAGGAGAATGGCTTGAACCCAGGAGGTGGAGCTTGCAGTGAGCCAAGATCGCACTACTGCACTCTACTCTGGGCAACAGAGCAAGACTCTGTCTCAAAAAACGAAAACAAACAAACAAAAAAGAGTTTTACTCCAACTGTTGTTGGAGCAAAAATGTAGTAAAAATGTTTCTTGCATTATTGGGCAGTGGTAAAAATATCTAACTTAAACTGTAATAAGTTGCAAGGCTACATGTTGTAATCTCTAGGGCAGGAATGGGCACACTGTTTTAGAAAGGGATAGTTAATAAAGATTTTAGGGGCTGGCATGGTGGCTCATGCCTGTAATCCTAGCATTTTGGGATGCTAGGGTAGGTGGATCATGAGGTCAAGAGATCAAGACCATCCTGGCCAACATGGTAAAACCCTGTCTCTACTAAAAATACAAAAATTAGCGGGGTGTGGTGGCGTATGCCTGTAGTCCCAGCTGCTTGGGAGGCTGAGGCAGGAGAATCGCTTGAACCCAGGAGGCAGAGGTTGCAGTGAGCCAAGATCATGCCACTGCACTCCAGCATGGGCGACAAAGTGAGACTCCCTCTCAAAAAAAAAAAAAAAAAGAAAAGAAAAAGAAAAAGGAAAAAAAAAAAAGACTTTAGGCTTTCTGGTCCACATATGCTCTCTACTGCATATTCATCATCTTTTTCCACAATCCTTAAACAATGTAAAAACCATTCTTAGCTCATAAGTCATACAAAAACAAGGTATGGGCCAAATCCCTGCTGTAATAATAAAAGAAGGTCCAACTAAAAAGTTAATTGTGCAGATAAAATGAAATAACAGGCCAGGCCCAGTGGCTCATGCTTGTAATCTCAGTACTTTGAGAAGCTGAGGCAGGTGGATCACGAGGTCAGGAGTTCGAGATCAGCCTGGCCAACATAGTGAAACCCCGTGTCTACTAAAAATACAAAAAAATTAGCCGGGTGTGGTGGCGGGCGCCTGTAATCCCAGCTACTTGGGAGGCTTAGGCAAAGAGTCGCTTGAACCTGGGAGGCAGAGGTTGCAGTGAGCCGAGACTGCGCCACTGCACTCCAGCTAGGGAACAGTGCGAGACTCAAAAAAAATAAAATAAAATAAAATAAAATAAAAACAATTAATCAAAAAATGTATTTATTTCATTCTTTTTTTTTTTTTCAGAGACAAGGTCTTGCTTTGTCACCCAGTTTGGAGTGTGATGGTGTGATCATGGCTCACTGCAGCCTTAAACTCCTGGGCTCAAGCAATCATTTTGCCTTGGCTTCCTGAGTACCTGGGACTACAGGGGCGTGCCTGGCTAATTTTTTATTTTATTGTGGAGACAGGGTCTTGCTATGTGGCCCAGCCTTGTCTCAAACTCCCGGGCTCAAATGATCCTCCTGCCTCAGCCTCCCAATGTGCTGGGATTACAGGCATGAGCCACAGCACCTGGTCCTCAAAAAATTTATATTGTGGCTGGGTGCAGTGGATCACACCTGTAATCCCAGTGCTTTGGGAGGCTGAGATGGGTGGATCACCTGAGGTCAGAAGTTCGAAACCAGCCTGGCCAACACGGTGAAACCCCATCTCTACTTAAAAATATAAAAATTACCTAGGCGTGGTGGCAGGCGCCTGTAATCCCAACTACTCAGGAGGCTGAGGCAGGAGAATCGCTTGAACCCGGGAGAGGGAGATTGCAGTGAGCCGAGATCAAGCCATTGCTCTCCTCCAGCCTGGGTGACAAGAGCGAAACTCTGTCTCAGAAAAAAAAAAAAAAAAAAAAAAAAAAAAAAAAAATATATATATATATATATATATATATATATAGAGAGAGAGAGAGAGAGAGAGAGAGAGAGAGAGTAAGCATTTTTGCATTCATTAAATATATCAAAAAACTAAGCCAGGCACAGTGGATCTCACCTATAATCCCAGCACTTTGCGAGGCCAAGGCAGGAAGACTGCTTGAACCCAGGGGTTTGAGACCTGCCTGGGCAATACAGGGAGGCCTCATCTCTGCAAGCAATTTTAAAACTAGCCGAGTGTTGCGGCATGCACCTGTGGTCCCAGCTACTTGGGAGGCTGAGGTGGGAGAACTGCTTGAGCCCAGGCCCACACCACTGCAGTCTGGCCTGGGCGAGAGATCGAGAACTTGTCTCAAAAAAAAGACAAAACAAAGAAAAAGATGCTGGGAAATGCGAACCAAATGCTCTGTGAAAGGACAGTAGTTCCATCTGGTAATGCCTCTCCTTAGAAACTGGGCTATTAGGAAAGGAGTAAATCCAACAGGTGTGGGAGCAGCTTCCTGGTTGTCACCAGGCACATGGGCTTTGGAGTTTGAAAGATTTGGGTACTAATAATTCCTGCTCAGTTACTAACTGTGTGATATTGGACAACTTTTTATTCTTCTATCCTCAGTTTTCTCAACTGCAAAACAAGGAGAATATTTACCATACACTATGACTAGTGGGACTGACCATCATAGTTCAATAAACATAGTTGCATACCGCTGAGGCGCAAGTGAAAAAAGACAGGAAAGCGGACACTCACCTTCTCTGCAAAGGTGAAAATCTTTCTCTGATCAACGCCTCCAAATTGGGCATCTACTTTTAAATACTCTTCATCCAAAGCCTGTGGAAAGAAACACATGAACATAAACATCTACTTTATTTTTTTGAGATAGAATCTCACTCTGTTGCCCAGGCTGGAGTGCTGTGGCATGATCTTGGCTCACTGCCACCTCTGCTTCCCAGGTTCAAGTGAGTCTCCTGCCTTAGCCTCCTGAATAGTTAGGATTATAGGCATGCACCACCACGCCCGGCTAATTTTTTGTACTTTTAGTAGAGACGGGGTTTTGCCATGTTGTCCAGGCTGGCCTTAAACTCCTGAGCTCAGGTGATCCACCCGCCTTGGCCTCCCAAAGTGCAGGGATGACAGGCAAGAGCCACTGTGTCCGGCCTAAACATCTACTTTATTTCTTCTATATAGGTCTGAGAAATCAGAAAGTTTAGGAAATTACTAGATTTTTCAGAAGGTAAAGCCGAGAAGAAAATAAAACAGCAGTCAGCCTCCCTCTTGGCCTCAAAAGCTGCAAAGACAGTTGCTGAGTGCTTGTGGTGAACACTACTCCATGTGGATGTCATGGGATAAAAAAATAAGAGTAGTCTCTGCCCTCAGGATATGCAGAATCCTGCAGGGAGGGAGAGAAGAAGGAAACAAACCGTAGTCATGCCAAAAGCATCCTACTGAATAAGGTGGCCTACGACAAATGACATATAAGTAGCATAAAGAAGTCCTGTGAGAATTCGGGAAAAAGGTAAGACTGAACTAGAAAATAGTGACTGTCTGGGTGCGATGGCTCACGTCTGTAATCCCAGCACTTTGGGAGGCTGAGGTGGAAAGATCACTTGAGCCCAGGTGTCTCTACAAAAACAAAAAACAAACAAACAAACAAAAATTAGCCAAGTGTGATGGCATGCATCTACAGTCCCAGCTACTCAGGAGGCTGAGGTAGGAGGATCACCTAAGCCCAGAGAGCTTGTGGCTGCAGTGAGCCATGATTGTGCCACTGCATCCCAGCCTGGGAGACAGAAGGAGACCCTGTCTCAAAAAATAAAATAAAATAAATAAATAAAACAGTGACTGTCCTTTATGACATGCCAGGCCTGCTGCCAGCTCCGTGGATGGTGAGATAAATCAGATCCAGACTCTCCCTTCAAGAAGCCCAATTATCCAGCTGGGGAGAGACATGTAACAGATCATTTCAACTCAGTGTGCTAAGGGCTAACCTAGATGTTCATATAAGGAACAGTGTTGACATAAAAGAAGAAATTATCTCTATCTAGTTAGATGGGTGTGGGGAGGGCTTCCTAATATCAGACTGTGGGCTAAGCTTGGTTTTGAAGAACATATAGATGTTTTTCATCATGCAGAGGAAACAGAATGTGAGAAGGCACAGAGGTGTGAAGTGTTTAGGGAAATTCTGAGTGATTCAGTCTGCAAAAGTACAAACCTCAAGGAAGGTGGGAAGCAGTGACTGATAAGGTTAGAAAAGTAGGTAAGGACCATTAAATGTCATGCTAGGGTGCCTAGTGTTATCTTAACCAGTGAAAGGTTTTAAGGAGAGGAGAAAGATGACTAGCACTGTAGGAAGATGGCAACAGTAACAGGGCAGGGTAGACTTGAGACCCATGGGTCGGAGACAAAGTGAATGGCTCAAAGGCTATTGTGAAAGTCTAAGTGAGAAATATTGATGAACAAAAGACAATAAGGACGCAGAGCAAGAATGAATTTAAGACATTTTTAAAAAGTAGAATTGATAAAATTTAGTGCATGATTGGCTGAAAGGAAGAGGAAGAAAAGGCTGAACAAGCAGGAATAATCTAGAACAGCATTATCCAACACAATCTTCTGTAGTGATGAATATGTTATATGTTTGTGCTGTCCAATACAGTAGCTAACCAAGAACTTGATATATAGCCAATGCGACTAGAGAATAAAAATTTCCATTTTATTTAATTTTAATAGCCACTAGCCACATATGACTAGGACTAGAGGCTACCGCATTAGACAGTACAGACCTAGTTCTTTCTTTCCTTTTTCCCTCCCTCCCTGCTTTCTTTCTTTTTTTCTTTTCTTTTCTTTCAAGAGATGGAGTCTCACACATACAGAATAAGAGAGAGATGGAGTCTTGCTATGTTGCCTAGGCTGGTCTTGAACTCCTGGCCTCAAGTGATCCCCCCTCCTCAGCCTCCCAAGTACTTGGGATTATAGGCATAAACCATGGCACCCAGTCAACAGTGCAGAACTAGCATGTCTCCGGGTTTTCTTTTTTTTTTTTTTTTTTAGATAGGGTCTCACTCTGTCACCCAGGCTGGAGGGCAGTGGTTTGATCTCGGCTCACTGCAACCTTGACCTCCTGGGTTCAAGCAATTCTCCCACCTCAGTTTCACAAGTAGCTGGGACTACAGGGGCATGCCACCACACCTGGCTAATTTTTGTATTATTTGGTAGAGATGGGGTTTCACCATATTGGTCAGGCTGGTCTTGAACTCCCCACCTCAAGTGATCAGCCTGTCTTGGCCTCCCAAAGTGTTGGGATTACAGGCGCCAGCCACTGCACCCAGCTCCAGGTTTAACCTTGGAAAATGTCTCTTTGAGGTGACAAGGGAAATTTTTATTTTCTCATATCAAACATTATAGAGGGCTAGATGTGTTGGCTCATGCCTGCAATTTCAGCACTTTGGGAGACTAAGGCAGGAGGATCACTTGAGGCCAGGAGTTCAAGACCAGCCTAGGCAACATAGTGAGACCCTGTCTCTACAAAAAATTTAAGAAAATTATACAGATATACAAAGAAAAAGTTAAGTCTATCCATATTTTCATCTTGCCTTCACAAGGTAACCAGTATCAACAGCTTGGTTTGTATTTTTTTTTTTTTTTTTTTGAGATGGAGTCTCGCAGCATCTGTCACCCAGGCTGGAGTGCAGTAGCGTGATCTTGCCTCACTGCAAGCTCTGCCTCCTGGGTTCACACCATTCTCCTGCCTCAGCCTCCCGAGTAGCTGGGACTACAGGCGCCTGCCACCACGCCCAGCTGATTTTTTGTATTTTTAGTAGAGACGGGGTTTCACCGTGTTAGCCAGGATGGTCTCGATCTCCTGACCTCGTGATCCGCCTGCCTCAGCCTCTCAAAGTGCTGGGATTACAGGCGTGAGCCATTGCGCCGGTCTGGTTTGTATTTTTCTATCCTTTTCCTTGCTCATACAAATATACATGCACACAAAGGAAACAGAAGGATGCTTCTTTTAAACAAAACATGTATTTGTTTTGTTTAACAGAAAATAGGATCATGCTCAAATTTATTTTCACATATCACTCTGAAGTTTATTTCCTTTATTAAGATTATGATAAAAAGGATTATGATTAACATAAAGGTGTATGAGATGAACAATGTCTTAAAGGACAGACAGGTAGCGAAGGAATTATAATGGAAGAAGTAAAAGAGTATCCCAGGAAGCAGGGGAGGAATAGGAGAGACACACAGCAAGGCCTATAGGTTGGAGAAGAACAGCAAATGCATGTATTTAACTGGTGCCAAGAGAGAGGTTTGTGTACAGTACAGGCATACCTCAGAGACACTCTGGGTTCAGTTCCAGACAGCCACAATAAAGTGAGTCACTTGGATTTTTTTGTTTCCCAGTGCATATAAAAGTTGTGGTTACACTATACTGTAGTCTATTTAAAGTGTGTAATAGCATTATGTCTACAAAAACGTACATACTTTAATTTGGTTAAGGTATGGCCAAAAATGCTAACCATCATCTGAGCCTTCAGCAAGTCATAATCTTGCTGGTGAAGGTCTTGCCTCCATGTCTGATGGCTGCTGGCTGATCAGGGTGGTGGCTGCTGAAGGCTGCGGTGGCTGTGGCAATTCCTTAAAATAAGACAACAATGAAGTTTGCCACATCAATTGACTCTCCCTTTCATGAAAGCTTTATCTGGTGCAGGTGATGCTGTTTGATAGCGTTCTGTCCACAATAGAACTTCTTTCTTTTTTTTTTTTTTTTTTTTTTGAGACGGAGTCTCGCTCTGTCACCCAGGCTGGAGTGCAGTGGCCGGATTTCAGCTCACTGCAAGCTCCGCCTCCCGGGTTCACACCATTCTCCTGCCTCAGCCTCCGGAGTAGCTGGGACTACAGGCGCCCGCCACCTCGCCCGGCTAGTTTTTTGTATTTTTTAGTAGAGACGGGGTTTCACTGGGTTAGCCAGGATGGTCTCGATCTCCTGACCTTGTGATCCGCCCGTCTTGGCCTCCCAAAGTGCTGGGATTACAGGCTTGAGCCACCGCGCCCGGCCAGAACTTCTTTCAATACTGGAGTCCATCCTCTCAAACCCTGCTGCTGCTTTATCAACTAAGTTTATGTAATATTCAAAATTCTTTGTTGCCATTTCAACAATGTTCGCAGAATCCTCACCAGTAGTTTCCATTTCAAGAAACCACTTTCTTTGCTCATCCATAAGAAGCAATTCCTCATCTGTTCAAAATTTATCATGAGATTGAAGCAATTCAGTCACATCTTCAGGCTCCACTCCTAATTGTAGTTCTCTTGTTATTTCTACTCCATCTACAGTGACTTCCCTCACTGAAGTCTTGAACCCCTCAAAGTCGCCCATGACAGTTACCATCCACTTCTTCCAAACTCCTGTTAATATGGATATTTTTACTTCCTCCCATGAATCACGGATATTCTTAATAACACCTAGAATGCTGGATCCTTTTCAGAAGTTTTCAGTTTACTTTGCCCAGATCCATCACAGGAATCATTATCTATGGCAGCTATAGCCTTTTGAAACGTATTTCTTAAATAGTAGGACTTGAAAGTTGAAATCACTCCTTGATCCATGGGCTACAGAATGGATGTTATGTTAGCAGGCATGAAAATAACGTTCAACTCCTGAACATCTCAAGCTCTACAGAAGCTCTCCATCAGAGCTCTTAGGTGACCAGGTGCACTGTCAATGAGCAGTAATGTTTTGAAAAGAATCTTTCTTTCTGAGGAGTAGGTCTCAAAAGTGGGCTTAAAATGCTTAGTAAATCATACTGTTAACAGATGTGCTACTATCCAGACTTTGTTGTTCCATTTATAGAGCACAGGCAGAGTAGACTTAGCATAACTCTTTTTTGAGATGGAGTCTCACTCTGTTACCCAGGCTGGAGTACAGTGGTGTGATCTCGGCTCACTGCAACCTCCGCCTCCCGGGTTTAAGTGATTCTCCTGCCTCAGCCTCCCGACTATAGCTGGGACTGCCAGACGCGTGCCACAATGCCTGGCTAATTTTTTTTTTTTTTGAGATGGAGTCTTGCATTGTTGCCCGGGTTGGAGTGAATGGCGCGATCTCAGCTCACTGCGACCTCTGTCTCCTGGGTTCAAGCAATTGTCCTGCCTCAGTCTCCTGAGTAGCTGGGACTACAGGTGTGTGCCACCACACCCAGCTAATTTTGATATTTTTAGTAGAGACGCAGTTTCACTATGATAGCCAGGCTAGTCTCGAACTCCTGACCTCGTGATTCGTCTGCCTCAGCCTCCCAAAGTGCTGAGTTACAGGTGTGAGCCGCCACGACTGGCCTAATTTTTCTTTTTCTTCTCTTTTTTTTTTTTTTTTTTTTTTGTAGTTTTAGTAGAGACAGAGTTTCACCATGTTGGCTAGGCTGGTCTTGAACTCCTGGCCTCAAGTGATCTGCTCACCTCGGCCTCCAAAAGTGCTGGGATTATAGGCATGAGCCACCATGCCTGGCCTATATAGCCTAATTCTTAAAGGCACTAGGATTTTTGGAATGTAAATGAGCATTGGCTTCAACTTCAAGTCATCAGCTGCATTAGCTTCTAACAAGAGATTCAACCTGTCCTTTGAAGATTTGAAGCCAGGAATCAAGTTCTCTCTAGCTACGAAAGTCCTAGATGGCATCTTCTTCCGATAAAAGGCTATTTCATCTACCTTGAAAATCCATTGTTTAGTGTAGCCACGTTCATCAATGATCTTATCTAGATCTTCCGGGTAACTTGCTGCAACTTCTACATCAGCGCTTGCCGCTTCACCTTGCACTTTGACATTATGAAGATGCCTTTTTTCCCTTTAAACATCATGAACCAATCTCTGCTAGCTTCAAACTTTTCTTGTGCATCTTCCTCACTTCTCTCAGCCTTCATAAAACTGAAGACAATTAAGACCTTTCTCTGGAGTAGGCTTTAGCTTAAGGTAATATTGTGGCTGGTTTGCTCTTCCATCCAGACTATTACAATTTTCCCCATATCAGCATAAGTGAAAATTATGTCTGTTTCACTTCCTATTTTTCAGGTGTTCACTGGAGTAGCACTTTGAATTTCCTTCAAGAATTTTCCCTTTGGAGTCACAACTTGGCTATTTGGTGCAAAAGGCCCAGCTTTCTGCCTGCCTCGGCTTTTAACATTCCTTCCTCACTAAGCTTAATCATTTCTAGGTGTAGATTTAAAGTGAGTGATGTGCGGCTGGGCGCGGTAGCTCAAGCCTATAATCCCAGCACTGTGGTAGGCCAAGGTGGGTAGATCACAAGGTCAGGAGTTCAAGACCAGCCTGGCTAAGACGGTGAAACCCCGTCTCTACTAAAAATACAGAAAAATCAGCTGGGCCTGGTGGCAGGTGCCTGTAATCCCAGCTACTCGGGAGGCTGAGGCAGAGAATTGCTTGAACCCGGGAGGCGGAGGTTGAAGTGAGCCAAGATCGCGCCACTGTACTCCAGCCTGTGTGACAGAGCGAGACTCTGTCTCAAAAATAAATAAATAAATAAATAAATAAATAAATAAAGTGAGAGATGTGTGACTCTCCCTTTCACTTCAACACTTAGAGGCCATTGTAGGGTTATTGATTAGCCTTATTTCAATATTGTCCTGTTTCAGGAAATAAGGAGGCCAGGAGAGTGGCAAAATGACTGGATGGTAGAGGAGTCAGAACACACACAATATTTGTTAAGTTCGTTGTCTCATATGGGCACAGTTTGTGGTGCCCCAAAACAATTACAATATTAACATCAAAGGTCACAGATCGCATATAACCATGCAGATATGATAATAATGAAAAAGCTTGAAATATTGTGAGAATTACTAAAATGTGGCACAGAGACACGAAGTGAGCACATGCTGTTGGAAAAATGGTGCTGGTGGACTTGCCGGACACAGGGTTGCCACACACCTTCAATTTGTAAAAAACACACTATCTGTGTAGTGCAGTAAAGCAAAGCGCAATGAGATATGCCTGTCATCAAACCAGAGCAGAAAAGGCCATCGGGCCATTCCATCCCACTTAAGTACCTGCAGTCCGGGGTACAAGAGACCACTCAGCAAAGGGTGCTCCACTTGCTTTACCACCTCAGCTCCAGCCTTCTTGGAATCGTGCTGTGTGACTACGGAGGACAGTCTGTACACATCGAGTGTGTACTCTCTGAAGAGGAAAGGAAGAGGGGACAGCTGTAAGCCTGGGCCTAGGCCTCAGTTTCCTAGGGCAATCTAAAGCACATTAATTTACTTCCCTAACCTTAGTGTAACCAGGGATCTCAGTTTTAAAAATATATTTTAATCACCAACTTTCTTCTTCTTCTTTCCCTCCCTTCTGGCAATGCATGCTTATGTAATTATGTTCTTGCTTAAGAAATTCCAGAGAGGAGGGTGAGGATTCAAAAACTACCTACTGGGTATTGTGCTGATTACCTGGGTGACAAAATTGTCTGTACACCAAACTCCTGTCACATGTAATTTACCCAAATCTGCACATGCAACCCTTGAATCTAAAATAAAAGTTGGAAAAAAAGAAAGAGATTCCAGAAGCCAATCTTGAAACAAACTAGGCATGGAGCCCAGACTGCAGAATCCTCCTGCTCAGAGGGAGTCTGGAACAATTAGTCCATCACCATCAGTCTGAAGTCAAGATAACACCAACCATACCTCCTGACAGGCAATTATGCAAGACAGCCATCAGAACAAAGACACACAGACCCTGCATTCTCACCACTCCTGCATGCCTCCCATACCAAGCCTCCCTTTAAAAACACTATGGTAAAATTTAGAATTTAAGATAGTACTTTAGTACACTAGTTCACCATCTTCTCAGTTTGTTGGTTCCCTGATTAAACCTGCTTTTCCTCCCACCAACCCTTGTCTCTTGTGTCTGGCTTTCAAGTGTCTGGGCAGCCAAACCTGAGTCCAGTTACATTAGGACATTCAAACAGAGCACTGCCTGATAGCTTCTAAAATGGGATGGACCTATCCTCTCAACTAAAATACTACTTTATTTATTTATTTATTTATTTAAAGAGACGGAGTCTTGCTCTGTCGCCCAGACTGGAGTGCAGTGGCATGATCTGGGCTCACTGCAAGCTCCGCCTCCCAGGTTCACGTCATTCTCCTGCCTCAGCCTCCTGAGTGGCTGGGACTACAGGTGCCCGCCACCATGCCCGGCTAATTTTTTGTGTGTTTTTAGTAGACACGGAGTTTTATTGTGTTAGCCAGGATGGTGTCAATCTCCTGATCTCGTGATCCGCCCGTCTTGGTCTCCCAAAGTGCTGGGATTACGGGTGTGAACCACTGCACCCGGCCAATATTACTTTATTTTTATGTTTTTCCTTTTATCTTTTTTTTTTTTTTTTTTTGAGACAGGGTCTCACTCTGTTGTTGGGCTGGAACACAGTGATGTGATCGGAGCTCACTGCAGCCTCAATCTCCCTGGGCTCAGGTGATCCTCCCATCTCAGCCTCCAGAGGAACTACAACTACAGACATGTGCCACCACACATGGCTAATGTTTCTATTTTTTGTAGAGACGTGGTTTCCCCATATTGCCCAGGCTGGTCTGGAACTGCTGGGCTCAAGCAATCTACCCACCCCAGCCTGCCAAAGTGCTGGGATTACAGGTGTGAGCCACAGTACCAGACTTCTTTTTCCTTTTAAAAAGAGGGCTTTAATTAGTATTTTTCTTCACTTCTGGAAAATGTTCTGCCATTATCTCTTGAAATACTGCTTCTCTGCCATTCTCCTTCAGTCTCTTCATTTGGAATGCCTTTTCAACTGATATCAAAATTTCCCAGTCTATTTCCATGTTTTTTTTGTTTTTGAGACAGAATCTTGCTCTATTGCCCAGGCTGCAGTATAATGGAACAATCAGTCACTGCAGCTTCCATTTCAGCTCAAGTGATCCTCCCACCTCAGCCTCTTAAGTAGCTGGGATTACAGGTGCATGCCATGAGGCCTAGCTAATTTTTTTGATTTTTAGTAGAGATGAGGTCTCACTATGTTGCCCACTCTGGTCTCAAATTCCTGAGCTCAAGTGATTCTCTTGCCTTGGCCTCGCATAGTGCTGGGATTACAGGCATGAGCCACTGCATCCAGCGCCCCCACCCCCTGCCAATTTTTTTTTTTTTTTTGAGATAGAGTCTTGCTCTGTTGCCCAGGCTGGAGTGCAGTGGTGTGATCTTGGCTCACTGCAACCTCTGCCTTGTGGGTTCAAGCAATTCTCCTGCCTCAGCCTCCCGAGTACTGGGATCACAGGCATGCCTGGCTAATTTTTGTATTTTTAGTAGAGACAGGGTTTCACCATGTTGGCCAGGCTGGTCTTGAACTCCTGACCTCAGGTGATCCACCTGCCTCAGCCGCCCAAAGTGCTGGGATTACAGGCGTGAGCCACCATGCCTGGCCCTAAAGTCATTTTTGTATATAGAAAAATATCAAGTGACTTTAAAGAAAGATAGTTTTATTTATCCCAGCTTCCCATATCCCAAATTCTCTTAAGTTCTTGGAGAATAAAAATCGTGCCTGTGTTCTTCACAGGTATAACCCCAGTTCCTAGACTAGTGTCTCGCACATAGCAAGAATTCAATACATATTTGCAAGACTCACTCCCTCACCTTATTCAGGTTTCTGCCTAATGTCATTTTAGTAGAGGGTTTCCCTAACCATCTCATTCAAATTGAAACCCCCCGTTTCCCGAAAACTTTCTCTACCCTGGGCTGCCTGCTTTGTTTTAGCTATTGCCATCTGATACACATATAACTTATTATTTACTGTCTGTATTTCCTTGCTGGAATGTAAGCCCCATTAGGATAGGGACTTTTGTTTTGGCTTACTTTTGCATATCCAGTATCTAGAACAGTGCTTATCATATACCAGGGGCTCCATAAAGATCTGTAGATTAAATGTAAAAATGAATAAAATTTCAGGTACTCTACAAAGGCTGTAGATTCAAAGATGTTCATATGCTTTATTTAGTCATTTCTTTTTCTTTCTTCTCTTTTGAGATGGAGTCTCACTCTGTTGCCCAGGCTGGAGTGCAGTGGTATGATCTCCACTCACTGCAATCTCCACCTCCTGGGTTCAAGTGATTCTCCTGCCTCAGCCTCCCGACTAGCTGGGACTACAGACGCGCGCCACAATGCCTGGCTAACTTTTTTTCTTTTTTGAGACAGAGTCTTGCATTGTCGCCCGGGCTAGAGTGCAATGGCACGATCTCGACTCACTGCGACCTCTGCCTCCCGGGTTCAATCAATTGTCCTGCCTCAGCCTCCTGAGTAGCTGGGACCACAGGTACATCCCACCACACCCAGCTAATTTTTATATTTTTAGTAGAGATACAGTTTCACTACGATGGCCAGGCTAGTTTTGAACTCCTGACCTCGTGATTTGCCTGCCTCAGCCTCCCAAAGTGCTGAGTTACAGGTGTGAGCCACCATGCCTGGTCTAATTTTTTGTATTTTTTAGTAGAGATGGGGTTTTGCTGTGTTGGCTAGACTGGTCTCAAACTCCTGGCCTCAAGTAATCTGCCCACCTCAGCCTTCCAAAGCACTGGGATTACAGGTGTGAGCCACCATTGCCTGGTCCTATTTTTCTTTCTTTCTTTTCTTTTTTTGAGAGATGGGGACTTGCTATGTTGGCCAGGGTAGTCTTGAACTCTTGGCCTCAAGCAATTCTCCTAGCTTGCCCTCCTAAAGTGCTCAGATTATAGACATGAGCCACCCTGCCCAGCCTATATGCTTTATTTAAAGCCCTAAATGTATCAATAATGAGGAATGGTAAAGAAAATTATATTAGATGCAGTAAAAAGAGAAATATACTAGTAAGCAAGAGATCTGGGTTCACATCCTGATTCATTTACTTACTAGATATATAAACTTGGGAAAGTTAAATCTGAATTAATTTCCTTATCTGTGAAATAGGACAAAATAATGCTCATTTTAAAAAGTTGTTCTAAGGGTTAAAATGCAAAAGTGACTAATAGAGTGCTATGTACTTATACATGCATATCTGAGGTTTTAAAATTTTTTAAATGTGAAGACAATGAGGTAGCATGGGGAAATTACCTAAGAAAGAGTAAGTTGGCCGGGCGCGGTGGCTCAAGCCTGTAATCCCAGCACTTTGGGAGGCCAAGACGGGCGGATCACGAGGTCAGGAGATCGAGACCATCCTGGCTAACACGGTGAAACCCCGTCTCTACTAAAAATACAAGAAAATTAGCCGGGCGAGGTGGCGGGCGCCTGTAGTCCCAGCTACTCGGGAGGCTGAGGCAGGAGAATGGCGTGAACACAGGGGGGCGGAGCTTGCAGTGAGCCGAGATCGCGCCACTGCACTCCAGCCTGGGGCACGGAGCAAGACTACGTCTCAAAAAAAAAAAAAAAAAAAAAGAAAGAGTAAGTTAGGCCGGGCATGGTGGCTCACACCTGTAATCCCAGCACTTTGGGAGGCCGAGGCAGGCGGATCACAAGGTCAGAAGATCGAGACCATCCTGGCTAACATGATGAAACCCCGTCTCTACTAAAAATACAAAAAAATTAACCAAGAGAGGTGGTGGGTGCCTGTAGTCCCAGCTACTCGGGAGGTTGAGGCAGGAGAATGGTGTGAAGTCGGGAAGCGGAGCTCGCAGTGAGGTGAGATCACGCCACTGTACTCCAGCCTGGGTGGCAGAGCAAGACTCCATCTCAAAAAATATAAATAAAAATAAAAAAAAAGAAAGAGTAAGTTAGGTCGGGGGCAATGGCTCATGCCTGTAATCCCAGCACTTTGAGAGACCGAGGCAGGAGGGTCACCTGAGGTTGGGAGTTCAGTACCAGCTTGACCAACATGGAGAAACCCTGCCTCTACTAAAAATACAAAATTAGTTGGATGTGGTTGTGCATGCCTGTAATCCCAGCTACTTGGGAGGCTGAGGGAGGAGAATCACTTGAACCCAGGAGGCAGAGGTTGCAGTGAGTCAAGACTGCGCCATTGCACTCCAGCCTGGGCAACAAGAGCGAAACTACATCTCAAAAAAAAAAAAGAAAGAGTAAGTTAAACATCAGAACATGAAATATCTATGCTAACATTCCAAATATGAACAAAACTCACAAAGATAAAAAGCAATAACAATTGTTGGGGTGGTGAAAAACAAGTGAAATATTTTTCTTTCACTTTTCTTTTCTTTTTTTTTTTTTTTTTTTTGAGACGGAGTCTCGCTCTGTCGCCCAGGCTGGAGTGCAGTGGCCGGATCTCAGCTCACTGCAAGCTCCGCCTCCCGGGTTCGGGCCATTCTCCTGTCTCAGCCTCCTGAGTAGCTGGGACTACAGGCGCCCGCCACCTCGCCCGGCTAGTTTTTTGTATTTTTTAGTAGAGACGGGGTTTCACCGTGTTAGCCAGGATGGTCTCGATCTCCTGACCTAGTGATCCGCCCGTCTCGGCCTCCCAAAGTGCTGGGATTACAGGCTTGAGCCACCGCGCCCGGCCCACTTTTCTTTTCTTATTATTTGCTGAGGCTGGAAGAGAAAGGGAGGCTGAATTGTTCACAATCACTCTCCCATATGCTGTGAGTTTTGCAAGGCCAAGGACTTTGTTATGGTTATGTTTGTATTTCCAGCAAATACGACAGTATTAAGGCATTTACTAGTCAGTATACTTCTGATGGATGAATTACAAGGACAATGAGTATAAAGTTTTAAACGGTTCTTAATAGGTCATGCCAGACAGCTTCTAATTTAAATGTAAAGAATGACTGGACTCCACAGGCCTGTAATTAGCTAGCAGCACCAGAGCCACAAGGAGGGTGGATGATCAAGCACTTACTTGCTGAGCTGGTAATCAGTGCCTTTGATGAACTTGAGCTTCTCCAAGGGCACACCAATGCTCTCCAGCATTGCTTTGATCACATTCTCATAGTAACTGACTCGGAGTTCTAGAAGTTCCCATGGGGCTTTCATGTTATCCAGGTATGCGTGAAGGTCCGCAAACAGAATTGTTACCTGGATAAGAGATAAGGGGCTACCAAAACGCGAATTTGTCCAAATACCTCCAACCTATCTCCTCCAGCCCCACCCTGTCCTTGTTAAGTCTCTCTTGGGTCTCCTTTGGGTCATCCCTCAAGGGCTTATAGCATTAGTTCTTACCTCACATCCTGCCTTCAAGAAGTCCGCAATCTTTGACATGGGCACAAAGTAAGCCACATGTGGTTTGCCCGTGGTTGCTGTTCCCCAGTAAATTTTAAGTTCCCGCTCCTTCAGTATCTCCTTCAGCTTATCTTCCCCCAGCACCTCCTGTTGTGGAAGCAGAAGAGTTAGTTTAATGTCGGTGTCCCACCTTGCTCATCCTTTACCGTGTGACAAGGAAAACAAAAGGATGTGTCACTGGAGATCCAGGCTCAGAGCCATCAAGGAGGTCCAGCCATGCTCTCAGTGTGGATGTGATACCCTATCTTGTTTTAACCCGAATTGACTCTCCCTTTGCTGAGAGAGCCAGACAAACTCCATTTTGGCTCCTTCACTTGCAGCCCCTTGCAGCCTCTTACCCACCCCCCTCCTCAAGGACTTAACTTGTGCAAGCTGACTCCCAGCACATCAAAGAACGCAATTAACTGATAAGATATTGTGGCAAGCTATATCGCAGTTCCCAGGAATTCACCCGGTTGATAGTACCCTAAGCCCCCACATTTGTGTCTGGCTGATGGTACCCAAAGCCTCCGCGTCTATCACTTGTGATGGATTTAAAGCCCCTGCACCTGGAACTGTTTGTTTTCCCATAACCATTTGTCTTTTTAACTTTTTTGCCTGTTTTACTTCTGTAAGATAACTTCAGCTAGGCTCCCCCTCCCCTTTTTAAACCAAAGTATAAACCATTTGTCTTTTTAACTTTTTTGCCTATTTTACTTCTGTAAGATTACTTCGGCTAGGCTCCCCCTCCCCTTTCTAAACCAAAGTATAAAAGAAAATCTAGCCCCTTCTTCAGGGCCGAGAGAATTTTGAGCACTAGCCGTCTCTCGGTCGCAAGCTAATAAAGGACTCCTGAATTCATCTCAGAGTGTGGCGTTTCTATGTAACTCGCTCAGTTACAACATGGAGAGCCAATGTAAAGTTGATGCTGCTCCTAGTATCACCCCCGATGCTGGGGAGTGGGGACATGCCCCTAACTGCATCTTTGCCTGTAGCTACCTGTAAACCAAAACTAAACTCTAAGCCCCCCAACTGATGGAATGGACCCCACATTTTGGCCAACGGGATCCCAAAGAAATCTAAAAAACTAGTTCAGGCCAACGCAGGAAGGAAGGGTCTGACTTGCCTCATTATACCCTTCTCCCTTTGGAGTATATTTATTCACTTATTTTTTGGAGACAAGATCTTGCTATGCTGCCCTGGCTGGAGTCCAGTTGTGCAAACACAGCTCACTGCAGCCTAGACCTCCAGGCTCAACAATCCTCCCACTTCAGCCTTCCTAGCAGCTTGGGGCTACCAGCGCATGTACGCCTGGCTAGTTTTTTTGGTTTAGTAGAGAAGTCTCACTATGTTGCCCAGGCTGGTCTCGAATTCTTGGACTCAAGTGATCTTCTGGCCTCAGTCTCCCAAAGTGCTAGGATTATAGGTGTGAGCCGCTCCACCTGGTGATCCTCTGGGGTTTAGACACAATTGACCAGCATGAACATTAAAACACAGATAGTAAGATCGACAAAACAAACTCTCTGTAGCAATAAGATACCAAATTCCAACCTGATTCTGGTATAGCACCACAAGACAGATAGCAGACCCTAAAGGAAATCAAAGTATTTTACCCCAAAAGATATTTATTTGACATATTTTGAAATGACCCTGCAAAACTGTCTCTTGTGGGGGGAAATGTGCGTTCTGTAGAGAAATCTCCTACCCATACTAAGTCTTTTCTGGAGAGTCTGACACCTTTTAAGGTCAGATAACAGACATTCACCATCAATTCTCTCTGAAGCCAGCTACCTGGAGGCTTCATCTATATGACAAGAACCTTGGCTTCAGCTGGGTACAGTGGCTCAGGCCGGTAAATCCCAGCACTTTGGGAGGCCAAGGCGGGCGGATCACGAGGTCAGGAGTTCAAGACCAGCCTGACCAACATGGCGAAACCCTGTCTCTACTAAACATACAAAAATTAGCAGAGCACGGTGGCAGGTGCTTGTAACCCCAGCTACTCAGGAGGCTGAGACAGGAGAATCGCTTGAACCTGGAAGGCGGAGGTTGTAGTGAGCCAATATTGCACCATTGCACTCCAGCCTGGGCAACAAGAACAAGACTATGTCTCAAAAAAAAAAAAACAAACAAACAAACCTTGGCTTCCACAACCCTCCTTATCTTAACTCAGCTGACTTCAACTCTTCAGGCAGAATTTAACTCTTTCAATCAATTGCCAATCAGGAAATCTTTGAATCCACCTATAACCTAGAACTCCCACCCCCTTTCTGGGCAAACCAATGTATACCTTACTTGTATTGATTTATGTTTTTGCCTGTAACTTCTGTCTCCCCAAAATGTATAAAACGAAACTGTAACCTAACCACCCTGGACACATGTTCTCAGAACTTACTGAGGCTGTGTCAGGTGCCATGGTCTTTCAACTTAGCAAAATAAACCTCTAAATTCATTGAGACTTGTCTCAGATACTTTTTTTTTTTAAGATGGAGTCTCACTCTGACTCCGTCTCAAAAAAAAAAAAAAAAAAAAAAAAAGATGGAGTCTCACTCTGTCGCCCAGGCTGGAGCGCAGTGCTGTGATCTCTGCTCACTAGAACCTCCGCCTCCGGGGTTCAAGTGATTCTTCTGCCTCAGCTTCCAGAGTAGCTGATGTTACAGGCACACACCACCACACTCAGCTAATTGTTTGTATTTTTAGTAGAGATGGGGTTTCACCATGTTGGTCGGGTTGGTCTCAACTTCTGACCTCAAATGATCCACCTGCCTCAGCCTCCCAAAGTGCTGGGATTATAGGTGTGAGCCACCACACCTGGCCTCAGATACTTTTTGGTTTACATACCTCTAACTCACTCTCCTTCCTTTCATAGCCAATTTCTTGAAACAGTTGTCTCTTCTTTTGGTCTCCATTTCCTAATCTCCCATTCCAATTTGAATTCCATATCACATCACAAATAAACTTGCTAAGATCACAGAGGACCTTCATGTTGCTAAATTCAATGAGTATTTTTTAGTCCTCACTCCCTCCCAGAAGCACTCTCCTCTTTTGGTCTCCTTTATTTTATTCTCTTAGTTTTCCTCTTCTCTGCCTGCTTAGATTTCTTTGCAACTGTTCTTATTTTTCCTAGTCAATAAATATTAGCAATCCTTGGGGCTCTGGTCTTTTATCTTCTTACTCTACAGTCTCCTTAACTGATCCCCTTCAGTTGCTTCAGTTACTACTGTGAGCCAGTAACTCCCAAATCTCCTGCTCACGCCCATATACAGAACGGTGTTCTTGTTATCAATCCAATCATTCAAACTCAACGTGTTCAAAATAAAACTCATGCTCTTGACTTTACTTCACTCCCCAACCATCTTTTTCACTGATAGTTTCACTCCTAATTCAGTAAATGGTACCATCATTTAGAGTTGTTCAAGGACTCCAAAACTGCTCTTCAACCCTCCTATTTCTCTCTGCCTCTACATCACCACCCAAATCCAGGCCCCATCAGATCACACCAGGATTACTGTAATATTCTCCTAACAGGTCTCCCAAATCTACTCTTACTCCCTCCAATCCATGTTCTTTTTTTTATTTTTTTGAGACGGAGTCTTGCTCTGTCACCCAAGCTGGAGGGCAGTGATGCAATCTTAAGTCACTGCAACCTCTGCTCCCGGGTTCAAACTATTCTCCTGCCTCAGTCTCCCAAGTAGCTGGAATTACAGGTGCCTGCCACCATGCCCAATAAATTTTTGTATTTTTAGTAGAGATGGGGTTTCACTATGTTGGTCAGGTTGGTCTTCAACTCCCGACCTCAAGTGATCTGCCCGCATGGGCCTCCCAAAGTGTTGGGATTACAGGCATGAGCCATTGTGCCTGGCCACTCCAATCCATGTTCTAAAAGGTAGCCAGAGATAGTCTTTAAAACTCAAAAACTTCTTTAAAACTCATTTTCCTTTTTGCAAACCTTTAATGATTTCTTTTTGTCCTATGACAGTATTGAAAAAATTCTAAGAGGCCAGTGTACCTCTGATAAGAGGCTGTAGTGTTTCCTCAAGTTACAGTTTTGGAGGCTGTTAGAAACTATGATAGACTGCTAGTTTGAATCATGTATTACCAGGACTTGTTAAAATCCTGTGCTCCAAGTCTTTTGGTAGCTGATCCCGCATGCTCAAGAGCACCCCAACTATGTGGACACTTGGAGGGTTCTCACCATCCAGGAAGATGTCACATTACTTAGCCTTTAAAACCTGAGTGAGGCCGGGTGCCATGGCTCACGCCTGTTAATCCCAGAACTTTGGGAAGCCGAGTTTGGCGGATAACTGGAGGTCAGGAATTTGAGACCAGCCTGGCTAACATGGTGAAACCCCGTCTCTACTAAAAATACAAAAATTAGCCCGGCGTGTTGGCACATATCTGTAATTCCAGCTACTCAGGAGGCTGAGGCAGGAGAATCGCTTGAGCCCGGGAGGTAGAGGTTGCAGTGAGCTAAGATTGTGCCATTGCACTCCAGCCTGGGCAACAAGAGCGAAACTCCGTTTCAAAAAAAAAAAAAAAAACCCCAAAACGAAAAACCCAATTGAGTAAATTCTAATAGTTTTGTGTATTTTTAGTCTCCAACCAGCACTATTTTATGGAGAGAGAATAGGAAACAAAGAATCTAGCTAGGGGAAGCATGCAAAAACCTTTGGTTAAGACTAAGCTGTGAATGGAATAACCCAAATGTCCATCAACTGATGAACGGAAAAACAAAATGTATACCCATACATCAGAGTATCATTCAACTATAAAAAGAAATGACGTTAGGCCGGGCGCGGTGGCTCACGCCTGTAATCCCAGCACTTTGGAAGGCCGAAGCGGGTGGATCACGAGGTCAGGAGATGGAGACCATCCTGGCTAACACGGTGAAACCCGGTCTACTAAAAATACAAAACGTTAGCCGGGCGTGGTGGCTGGCGCCTGTAGTCCCAGCTACTCGGGAGGCTGAGGCAGGAGAATGGCGTGGACCCCAGCAGGCGGAGCTTGCAGTGAGCTGAGATCGCGCCACTGCACTCCAGCCTGGGCGACCGAGGAGACTCTGTCTCAAAAAAAAAACAAAACTAAAAAAGGAATGAGGTTCTGTTAGGTGCAAATACATGCATGAACTCTGAAAACATTATGCTAAGTGCAAAAAATCAGCCGCAACAAGACACATATTGTATGATTCTACTTACAGGAAATGCCCAGAATAGGCAAATACCTGGAGACAGAGAGTAGATTAGTGTTTCCCTAAGGCTAGGAGTAGTGGGTAATAGATAGTGTCTGCTAATGGGTGCAAGTTTTATTAGATTAGTGTGATGGTTGCACAACCTTGTGAACATACTAAAACCCACTGAATTGTACACTTTAAAAGGGTGAATTTTATAGTATGTGAATTACATCTCAAAAAAGAAAAAACAGAGCAGGCTGTGGCCCAAGTGATGTATCAACTGCTCTTTGAAGAAAGCACAATTTAAAATTGAACAGAATAAGGCCTGCAAGGCGCCCGTGACTTGGACCCTGCCTACCTCTCCTAAACAAATAAACAAATAAAATGTATAGCATGTAGAAATAACAACAGAAAAAAAAAGGCAGAGCAAGGGATGGGGCAGTTCTGGTGCCAGAGGGTTTGTTATTTAAATAAAGTGGTCGGAAATCATGCCTCCCTGATAAGGTGACAATAGAAGCCTGAAAAAGTTAAGGGAATAAGCAACACAAATATTTAAGTACTTCCGCATAACTTTGCTCACTCCACTCCAGCTAAATTAGCCACAATTTCTGTTCCCTCCATCTGAAATGCTCTCCCTCGTCATTCTTCCATTCTTCCTCTGGTTAACTTCTACTCCCGTATTTCTTGGTAACAATCGGAACATATGAGGAGGGGGGATCCACTATCTTCAAGGCGCAGTTTAGAGGTCACTTCCTCAGGGAAGGCTTCCCTTCTCTTTTTCCTTTTAAAGCTCCCAGTATAGCATCTTCCAGTACTTACTTGAACCGTAATGGGTCATTTTTAACGTCTGATCCCCTTCAGACAAGCTCTGGCTTGACGTATCCCCAGCGACTAAGCTCCAGGTCTGGCACTTAATAGGGTGGTGGAGTGGGAGTCCTGGATTCAAAGCTTGGCTCCAACACAAGGTAACTGGACGGAAGAGATGAGCCCGCTGTGCTTTCTGTGGAACCCAGGTAAGGGCTGCTTGATTGACTGACCGACCAGCAGTGAGATCTACAGCCTTTCTCAGAGCTGCCCCAGCGCCGAGACCCCGGCCCCACATACTTAGAACCCCGTAATGGGGCTCAAAATCACTGAACCTCGGGCTCCTAGTCCCCAACGGCGCATTTCCGACCCCCAGGCCTGACCTGCAGGTTCCGGGTGATAAGGTGCAGTTTCTCTTCAGGGCTGGGAGCGTCCCCCATGGCTCCGCTACCCCTGCTTCCCCTGCTCAGCCCGGCACCAGAGCCCCTTCCTGGGTCACCGTCGCCGCCGCGTACCGGGAACTGTCACGCGAGTCCAGCCAGGTTGCATCAGCTGGGCTCGGCGCTCCGCTTGCTCGGCCTGGACCCCTCCCCGCCCGGCAGTAGCTGGAAAAAGTGAGGAGCAGCGGAGAGTCGAGCAGGTCGATGAGACGGGAAAAGGTGGAGCCGGCGGGCACGGTAGGCGGTGCGGAGGGCGGGGCTGAAGCGCCTGCGCGGGGCACAACCCTCCTAGAGGCGGGACGGTTTCCTGCCAATCACTGCTGGTTTGCCCTCCCCCTGGCGTTGGCCCGGCTGACTCGGGGTGGGGGAGGTCGGGGAGGGGGCGATAAAATGGCGCAGGGGGCGGAGTGAGGCGCAGTCGTTCGCCCAGGCTTTGGCCCGGCTTCCGGAGGTGAAGAGCGGGAGGGAAAAGGGGGTCGGCGTTACCCGGCTTGGAGGGGGATGGGGGCGCCTGTTGCTTCTCCAGGGGGTTGCGCACGCCGTCCGCCCCTTGGAGGGATTGGGAGGCCCACGCCCTGCGGCGAGAAGCATTCTAGCTCCTGAGGTGATGGCGAGGGAATGTCCCTGCCCCCCACCTCCAAGTCGGCAGGCGACAGATGCCCCTCACCCCGCTGAGGAAAAGGGAAGCTCCCTGGTCGTCTGAGAGTCGGGGAGCGCCGTCTGCAGTCCCTGCCCAGTGGGGGTGGGGGCCGCCTCTGTCCCGACCGGCTCGGCGGGAGGCTGTTGCTGGCGGGAAGATAGCCGCGGGCTTTTCTGCCGCGTCTCGCGGGTGGGGGCAGGAAGAGGACGGCCCACTCCCCGGGGAGATCTGAGGACGGTGGTTCCCGGGAGAGGAGCGCAAAGCCCAGGCCTGCTGAGGGGGGCGGGTGTGCCCCTACTGGGGGAGGGGCGGGGAGAAAACCCTCGCTTCTCCCGCTTTCCGCCGGGAGGCGGGAATTCGCGGTGTCTCCGGAGGAGGGAGATGCAAAGGGCCTTCCTGGAGGGCGACACCGTCCCGGGCCGTTGCATTTGTGAGAGAGAGCCAAGGCAGTATCCTCCAAAGGTTGGGCCTGGGCCATCCTTTCTCCGGGTCCTCAAGGGCTGGAGACGGCGTCACCAGTTACTTCTAGGGCAAGAGGGAAAGCAGCACCTCGGTGGGTCCTGGAAAGGTCCTAGAAGTGGTTGAATTGCCCACCGCCTGCCCTAACCTGATCTCCAGTGTTTTGTGTATTCGTTAGGGACTCCAAGCTCTAGCAGACCTGCCTGAAGTGTTTTAAAGCACATTTTTTTTTTTAAAGAAACCTGTTGCTGCAGCTTAGCAAATCTGTTTTCTGTGCCCATGTGGGAGGAGAATCCTGGCACTCTCATCTAGTGAAATGTTACCTAAAGCAAAGATTTGCAGCCCTGGGTTGTTTTTTCCGTCCTGCGGTGTTTTTAGTTACTTCGAAGGAATTTGCAAAACTGTTACAGATAATTTGAGTTCATTTTGATTTTTTGTAAATGTTGTGTGTATTTTATGGAGTGATAACAAAGCTTGCTGAGTGCGTTTTGTGCTGTGTGCTTCCCATGTATTGGCATTTGGGAAAGGTTGGAAATCAAAGGCCAGCGGGAGGTCTTGTCCATTGGAAATAATCTCTGCCCTTGGCTGTACCTGTCAGACCCTGCTTGGTAATGGTCTTGACTTTAGAGCTTGAAAGAGGATGTGGGTTTGCATCTGGTGTTGCAGTTTTAGTGGCCTCAATAAAGTAAGGCTTTGTGCTCGAAGGCAGTAGGTTTTCTGAGGTGAGATAAAAATAGAAAGGGAACCAGTTTCTGAGGTTGCAACCAGGAGGTTCGAGAACAGAGAGAGGGGGTGGTAAACTGAAATGTGAAGAAGGGGGTGGACAGGTGAGAGAGATGTGGAAGGACAGAATGGGGTCACAGAAAGGATGGGGTGTAGAGGAACTAAGAGATAGAATTAGGAGATCGGAAAAATACTCTTCCCTTAAAAATAAAGGGATATGGCCAGGCATGCTGGCTTACACCTGTAATCCCAGCCCTTGGGGAGGCCGAGGCTGGAGGATTGCTTGAGGCCAGGAGTTCAAGACCCGACTGACCAACATAGCAAAACCCCATCTCTACTGAAAATACAAAAATTAGCTCAGCATGGTGGACGCCTGTAATCCCAGCTACTGGGAGGCTGACATATGAGAATCGCTTGAACCTGGGAGGCAGAGTTTGCAGTGAGCCCAGATCATGCCATTGCATTCCAGCCTGGGTGATTGAGTGAGACCCTGTCTCAAAAATAAAAATAAAATTAAAAAAAAGGGATCCCCATATTTTAAGTGGAGGTTACCAGACAAGTGCCAAGAATGGTAGGCAGAGAAGTAAGCAAGCCATCTTTTGACAGAGAAGTAGTAAGTAAGGCTGTCTTTGGAATTTCACTGAAGAACTTCAGTTTTATCTGAGGATTTCCTCCCTTGCACATTCATTAAATACCAGGTTTTTTTGGTATAGAACTTTTAGGTTTATAGGACTTTCATAAGCATCCTCTTTTTTCTCATGATAATCTGTTTGAAGTTAACAGTATTTACCCCTTTTTAGATGTGTGTTCTCATCTGTGTTGAGGTTCAGAGATTTGAAGTGAATTGCTGAGGTCCAGTACCTCTGTAAAAGATAGTTCAGGGAACATTAATTTGCATAATTTGCCTGATATTTCAGATGTCTACCTAGTCTGGTCTTTAGTGACAATATGATTGAATGCTAGATTAAACTAGATGAGAGTAGAGTATATTAGATAATTTCAGGCAGGGTCTAGGGGAAGTTCCCTACCAGTTTAGCACTCTTTTTTCCTACCGTTCGTATGCTTTTTTTTTTTTTTGAGATGGAGTCTCCCTCTGTCACCCAGGCAGGAGTGCAGTGGCGCGATCTCAGCTCACTGCAACCTCTGTCTCCTGTGTTCCAGCGATTCTGCTGCCTCAGCCTCCGTAGTGTCTGGGATTACAGTCATGCACCACACGCCTGGCCAATTTCTGTATTTTTAGTAGAGACGGGGTTTCACCATGTTGGCCAGGCTGGTCTCGAACTCCTGACCTCAGGTTATCCGCCCACCTCGGCCTCCCAAAGTGCTAGGATTACAGGCGTGAGCCTCCACACCTGGCCTTATGCTTCTCTTAAGACACCAGGGGTCAGGGCAATGGTGGTGGGGTGAAATAATAACTATGGCCACCAGTTATTTATCTCTTATGTCATGCCTCTAGTGTGCTAAATTTATGTTCATGATCTTATTTAATTCTTGCCACAACCCTATCAGGTAGGTACTGTGATATTTGAGGACATTTGATACTTCACAGAGTATAATCATTGTATCTTTCCCATTGACTTCATAATTCTAAAATGTTTTTATTGTTTCAAGCATATCAAAAAGTATAGTGGCTGGATATGGTGGCTCAATGCCTGTAATCCTAGCACTTTGGAAAACCTATGCGGAAGAATTGCTCGACTCCAGGAGTTCCAGACCAGCCTGGGCAACATAATAAGACTATGTCTCTACAAAAAATAAAAATAGGCCGGGCGCGGTGGCTCACGCCTGTAATCCCAGCACTTTGGGAGGCCAAGGCGGGCGGATCACAAGGTCAGGAGATCGAGACCATGGTGAAACCCCGTCTCTACTAAAAATACAAAAAATTAGCCAGGTGCGGTGGCGGGCGCCTATAGTCCCAGCTACTCGGGAGGCTGAGGCAGGAGAATGGCCTGAACCCAGGAGACGGAGCTTGCAGTGAGCCGAGATCGTGCCACTGCCCTCCAGCCTGGGGGACAGAGCGAGACTCTGTCTCAAAAAAAATAAATAAATAAAAATAAAAATAAAAAATTAGCTGGGTATAGTGGCATGCATCTGTAGTCCCAGCAGCCCTGGGGCTTAAGGCTGCAGTGAGCTATGATCACGCCACTGTTTTCCGCCTGACCAACAAACCTGAGACCCTGTATGAAAAAAATAACAATAATTTAACAGTATAAAAGTAACATAATAGTGAACATTATTACACCTACCATACTGCTTTATCTTAGGTTGCCATCTTTGTTTCAGGTCTCTTCTTGCTATTTTTTTTTCCTTATTTATTTATCGTCATGTAGCCTAAGATGAGATATTGTTTTCTTAAGAAATAAAACGGTGGTGGAGCGTGGTGGTTCACGCCTATAATCCCAGCACTTTGGAAGGCTGAGGTGGGCGGATCACAAGGTCAGGAGATCGAGACCATCCTGAACTCTGGCCTTTCATGCATATTATTATAATTTTGTGATAAATGTATCCATATATAATACCATACATAATACATGGTATTGTGATCTTTTTGTTGTTGTTTTTTGAGACTGACTCTTGCTGTGTTGCTCAGGCTGGAGTGCAGTGGCGTGATCTAGGCTCACTACACCCTCCGTCTCCCAGGTTCAAGCAGTTCCCCTGCCTCAGCCTCCCGAGTAGCTGGGATTATAGGCTCACGCCACCAAGCCCAGCTAATTTTTGTATTTTTAGTAGAGATGGGATTTCACCATGTTGGTCCAGATGATCTCGAACTCCTGACCTCGTGATCCGCCCTCCTTGACCTCCCAAAGTGCTAGGATTACAGGTGTGAGCCACCACGCCTGGCCTGTTTCTTTTTTCTTTTCTTTTATTTTGAGATAGCGTTTCACTCTGTCACCCAGGCTGGAGTGTAGTGGTGCGATCTTTGCCCATTGCAACCTCCACCTCCTGGGTTTCAGCGATTCTCCCGCCTCAGCCTTCTGAATAGCTGGGACTACAGGCCCATGCCACTATGTCCAGCTAAATTTTCTTTGTAGTTTTAGTAGAAATGGGGTTCCGCCATGTTGGTCAGGCTGGTCTCGAACTCCTGGCCTTAAGTGATCTGCCTAATTTAGCCTCCCAAAGTGCTGGGATTACAGGCATAAGCCATCTAGCGTATTGTTTCTTTAATAAAGTAATTGCAGGGGGAAAAGATCTGAAATCTTTAGATTAAAATACACATAAGACATTATCAGCCAGTCACATTGTATGGACCTTATTTGGATAGTGATTATTTTTTAGCCTTAAAAAAAATATGACATAAGGTAATTGGAAATCTGAACTGTATATTTTATGATAAGGGGTTCTTGTTATTTACAGATGAAATGATATAATGCCTGGGATTTGCTTCAAAATAATCTGGTAAAGGTGGGAAGTGGATGGGGCAAGATTAGCTGTGAGTTGATAGTCGTTGGGGTTGAGTGATGGGTATGTGGGGTTCATTATACTATTGTGTTACTTATGTATATGTTTTACATTCTTCATAATAAATAATTTTGAAAATGAGGAAATGGCTGGGCGCGGTGGCTCACGCCTGTAATCCTAGCACTTTGGGAGGCCAGCGCGGGCGGATCACGAGGTCAGGAGATCGAGACCATCCTGGCTAACACAGTGAAACCCCGTCTCTACTAAAAATACAAAAATTAGCCAGGCATGGTGGTGGGCACCTGCAGTCCCAGCTACTTGGGAGGCTGAGGCAGGAGAATGGCCTGAACCCAGGAGGTGGAGCTTGCAGTGAGCCGAGATCACACCACTGCACTCCAGCCTGGGCGACAGAGCTAGACTCCGTCTCAAAAAAAAAAAAAAAAAAGGAAATAGCATCAGAAAGAGAATGATTTGTAAAAATTAAAATTATCTCCTCCTCTCTCTCTCTATACCATATATATGGTGGTGTTTTGTATGCTTTTGTTCCCAGATCTGTTGGAACATGAGCTCAGAAAAGCCCATCTTTTTGCATCTGGATGTCATGTCGTGTAGGAATTTATTATTGCAATGGTTATGAAAGATATTGGTCCCATTAAGGTGGCTTAAAATATTTTTTCCAAGAGACCA